GTTAAAGAAGAACTGCCACTTCCTATAGCTAGCAAGGGGATGGCTGCCTGATAACCAGAGCTGGTCCAGGCACCAAGCAGTTGCCTGAAACAAGCAACAAGAGAAGTGCAGAAAGGTGGTAGGCTAACCCCCCCCCCCCCCCCACCATTCCTCTTGTCAACACTTGTCTCATACAAGGGTTTGGAGTCCAGACAAGTCAGTTATCAAGCAGCCGTCACCTTGCTAGTTATGTTAGCGGGCGGCTGGGGGGGGTTCCTGCTAGTTATGTTAGTGGCCGGGAGGGGGGGGGGGGGGGCCTGTTTACACGATGCTGCAGGCCACCAGCAGAGTGCTGACGGTTCACATGTTGGGGACCTGTGCTCTAACCCGTCCGCGCTTTAGTAAGTTTTTTTTTTTTTTTTTTATTACTGCCTGTGTCCCCACTGGGAGGGGGATTCCCCTTTTACTTCCTGTTCTGTTTGATAGCCATCAAATTGACACATTGAATCGCTCACCTCCTGCTCTGACACGTCAAATCGGCAGAATAGGAGGGAAAATCACACACATTAATAAAAAAAAAAAAAAAAGTTTTAAGGCCATGTTCACATGGAGCGTACATAAGTGTACCCCCCATGCTAGGCTCTGTTTATCTGCACAGGCGTTTTATCCGTCTGTCCCTCTGCAGGCAGGCACACCACTGTTGTCAATTGGGAGGCAGCAGCTGCATGGACACAGCCGCTGCTCCCAATCAGACATCCGTGAGGATGCAGCCGCACATCCCCCATGTATCCGCAAGGATGTCCGATTGGGAGCGGCAGCTGTATCTGTGCAGACGCTGCCTTCCAATTGACAGCGATGGGATTGAATTTAAAAACCCACCTGTGCATCCCTGTGTGGGTAGTTATCCCTCCATGGGGGTACACCTATATACGCCTCATGTGAACTGAGGCTGTAGAACCTGTTATCTTTTTTATCGGCTGCAGCGCTGATCAGTGTATTCCGATGGTGGGGGAGACCCGCCATCAGAATACAATGACACAGCGGGGATGTTTGCCCGAATATGAGGATGGGGGAATCGGTTCCGTGTTTTTTTGTTCAGTTTGCTGGCTGAATGTAAAAAATGAACCACGTCGCCAGCTTAAAGTGGTTGTAAACCCTCACATATACCCAGTGAAGTGACTGGCCTCAGGTGATACACAGCGATAAAACCAGCCCTGCTACATAAGTTGTACCCGTTTATCTAAAGCCATCTGTCCCTTACATCCAAAGTGCAGAATTTACACAGGTTCTGTCAGCTATGAAAAGCAGGGGGCGCGGAGCTAAAGTTACATCAGTGAGAGCGCAGAGAGCTGATTGGAGGGAACAGGCACACCCACCTTCACACAGCACACAGGAATAGAGCTGAGGCTTGCAATCACAGACTGTGTGCTAGAGATCCCTCCCCATCACCATTTTTCTCTTCATCACAAGTGACTCATGCTGATAGAGCAGTGAACAGAAATGACTCCTAGTGCTCTGGAATGAGACAAGCACACACTATAGAGGGATATGCTTTGTTCATATTTCATGTCTGAGGTTTACAACCGCTAACTCTTTCACACAAAGAAAAGGTTTTGGCCGGTGTTGTAACAGTATATAGAGAAAGATGTTTAGTGAGCGCTACCTTAAAAGGTGAAAATGTGTATAAATATGTATACACAACAAGGTTAACAAGCAGCTGATACACCGCAAAGGTAACCAAAAGAAAACCTCCAATAATACATGTATATCCAAATAAAGTGCTGCTAGCCCTTTATCCCTATGAATACGTGCATCGCACGAAACGAGTCAGGGCAGCAGCAACAGGACATTAACCACCGCTGGTGGACACCCTGGAATGTATGGTCAGTAACTTCTTTTTGACAATCTTTTTATGTACCCCACACCCACCAACCCTGAATAAAGGTACCTTAAGCAGTATCACGCTATGTGGTCTCTTATTGGGTACTCTGTGTGAGTGCTATCATTCGCAGTGCCCATCTGGAGGAACCATGGCCCTGGTGGTGATACCTGGTAGCAGTTTCTGGTGACCTTGCCTCTGTGGAACCGGGAAGGTGATCTGTGGGTAACCCGATCCGAGATTTGATGTCCGATCTATGGCCTGGTGACGCAGGATCATATATTGCGTATTTTAAACGCACATCTGGTGAGTGCGTTTTTCACCTATTTGTGTGGTTGGCACCTATTATCACACCTTGGATCAGGACACCCACTCACCTGGAATTAGGATCTCTCCATGATCCGCACTATTATATTGAACTTTTTAAATATTTATTGATCACCATTAGAGTGACATCACGCACGTGTATAAGTTTGCACTAGCATATTGTGTGTTTTTTTTATCGTGTATTATCATTTAGCGCTGCACCACTTTATTTGGATATACATGTTGTAACAGTGCTTCACTTTGTCACAGTTCTGTCTCGATAACGCACATCATCTTGATTTAACACTTTAACTCACACAGCACAAATGAACTTTACCATAAGATTAAGACTACTGTCATTTATTACATCTGTTAAGAACACAGATACAAAGCACAGTAAAAGGCCACAGGACAGGTAATTGACGTGGCCCGTACATCTGTACAAATTTGAAAAGTCATGTGATATCCCATGCCATCTGTCATTAGAGGCTCAGAGATATATATATATATATATATATATAAAATAATTAAAAAAAAAGAATGTCTTAATAGTGAGTTGGTGGAATTAATGAGGAATGTAACCATAAGCAACAGTGGAAATATGCGAAAGCAAGCAGATTCAAACAGAATGATTAATGGCCCCCTTTGTTTCTGGCGACAAAACACATGGGCTTGTCCAACAAAGGTGAAGAGCAATATGGAAAGTAACCAATCAGCAATCACCGCCCTATTGTTCATTAATAATGGTATCCACTAGTAATCGGTTACAGCGCTAGTACTATATTCCGGCTCTGCCTTATCGTGTTATCAATTTTATTGATCCCGATATAAATGTTGCCATCTGGGTTCCCTTTAATCTCTCAGCAACATTTATGAAAACCAATGCGCAAGAAAGAAAAAAAAAAAATTTTTTGCAACACCTTCTCTTTTTCTTTTTTCTGACTTTTATTTTTTGACAGGGTGAGTGGAACTCCGCTTTCAGTACTATTCCTTTCTCAGAAATGTGCCCACAGGCTTAAGACTGCTGACAGGTTGGATCTTGTACAGAAGTCTCATCCAAAAAGAAGGGAACACTTTATTGTCACAACTGCCCAAATGAAACATGTCACCTGCATGTACAGCGTTGGCATCCTGACCACGGAGACACTAGTTATGGGAAAGGAACACGCCTTCAGTTAGCAAATTGGCTGCCGCCGCTACAGGCTTCAGCGGTTCTGTTCTGGAACTTGACATCAACAACCGGCTATATACAAAGTGCAAAGACTGAATATTTTATAAAATAAATACTTGCATACCTTTTTTTTTTCCACTTCTAACCCTTTCATGCCATTTACAAAGAACATTTGTTATGAAGATTTCCAAAGACCCGGGTTTAAAAACAAAACAGCCCGTTGGTGTATGGAGCTTTTTCTGGAGCTTTTCAGTCATGTCTTTTAGCAAGATTACAGATTAACATCAGAAACAATTTTGTCAAATTTTATTTGTTCTGTACAGTAACATATTACAAAGGAGACAGCCTGGGAAAAAAAAAAGTTGCTTTTGGCTGCTTGTGGTCTTCAGAAGAGAAAACATGACTGACAGACTGAAGAAATGTATGCAGATTATATCCTCTGCTATCGATTCCCAACACACACCCGAAAGACAGCGGTCTTCAATTGTACATTCGTGGCAGATAGCTTTGATCTCAGAAAAAGGCAACTTATGAGCACAATCTGGCTTTTACCTGCTAAAATAAAGGATAAAAGGCACATTTGAACACACTGCATGCTTAATATTAGTCTTTTGATAAACAGTAGTGTTTGTTTTTTTTTTTGTTTCCTTAGGTAGTGTTTGTGAACAATTAACCACGTAGTGCACTTAATGGGAATCAGAATTTTTTTTTTTTTCCTTTCAATAGACATCCTCCATAAGTTAGACTTGAAGGCAGCGAACGCTTGCCGGTTAAAAGCAAGCACATGGTGAACGGAGCCGTTCTGAAAATGTGGCCAACAACGTTGCCATAGCACTTCTCCCAGCGTTGTGGTGTTGCTGACCCAGTTGTCGAAAAACTCCCATTTAATACTTCAGGCAACAAAATGGCTTCCTCCACTTGATGTGTAGGTAACAGGCGCACTTTAACCCCTGTTACAGCGTAAGAGGTCATAATGCCACTCCTGAGAATGGTTTACTGAGTGGACCAATGGAATGATGTAACCTGTCAAGATCCGCAGAGGCTACAATGACACTGTATGTCCTTGTCTACGGTTTGGTAATTTAAAAAAAAAAAAAAAGAAAGAAAAAAGGCCACTAGTGCTTTAAATAAAGTTAACAAGTCTTCCCTCCAAAAACTGCACTAATGTTGCCAAATACAACTATTTGGCTTAGCACATAGAACTGCTGTTTTAATGGATTGGTCTGTTGGAGGGTACAGTGCAAAACAAGTCGGAACAATAAAGTTTGTATGCATTAAAAAAAGAGAAAAAAAAAAAAAAATGAAAAACGGACAGCACTGTGTGTCCAAGACAAAGCAGAGACAGGTTTCTCCTGAGGCAGTTACACGTTGTATTAGTGTTTAAAGGCCGTAGTGTGTTTAGAACAGTCCCTCCCCCGAGGAGTTCATTCCTGCGCATGCTGTTTTTGATCAGTAGCACTTTTAGTTGAAGAGCAATGGAGTTAACCCCTTCCTGGTCACACCGCCGGCAGCACTTTTAGTTGTGCCTTGGTTAAAAAAGGGGAAATACAGTGCCTTATCAAAATAAATTATAAAAACGAAAAAAAAAAAAAAAAAAAAAAAGAATAGCTTGTCAAAAGTCCATTTCTGATCCCTATCCAGTGTCGAGGACTGTTATGGCTGTAGTCATTGCGGGGTTTCTGTATTTTCCAACAAGGTTAGTCTGTGCAAAGGAGGGTGGGAGAATTCCCTTTTGTAAGTCTTTGGTGGCAGTTTAGGTAGCTGAGGACTGGAGTTCTGCCGAGGCGGGACCGGGGGTGCCACTGTCTGTAAGAGGTTGCTGTGACTGGTGCTCAGCCCGCAGCAACGACGTAGCGCTCTTGGAGATGGAGTGCTGGGAGGGGTGTTGGGAGAGTTTGGGACAGTGCTGGATTCTCGGAACCAATCCTGCTCTCTGTGGAGGCGTCCAAGGGGTGGAGGCTGAAGGTTCAGGGGGCAGTTTATAAAATGTTCTGGAGGACGAAGCGGGACTGGTGGCGGGGTGTCAGGAAGAGGATCTCTTGGTGGAGGAGGAGGTGGGCTGTGTAAAGGTCCATCAAAGGGCCCCGTATAAGCAGGGACCCGTGGCTGAATCTTTGGAGGTGGAGGCAATCTCGGTGGAATGGCAGGTGGGTCCTCATCTGCTCTGGAGCTTGCCTGAGGTAAACAGAAAATGCAGCATATTCAATTCTTGTACATATAACATAAGCAATGCAAACTAAGTAGACAAAGTGGCTCTTTTAACCTCCCTGGCGGTCTGATTATTTCAGATTTTTGGTGCTGAAAGCGGTACCATTATTTTGCATGGAAATATGTATTTTTTTATTGTAGGCCTGTAATTCTTAGGAATAACTCACTGAAATCTGTCCGAACAAGAGTCTAGTAAACATCCCGGGGATGATAAAACTTGAAACACGAAATTATAAATTATAATTTACTAAATAATCATAAAAAATAATAATATAATAATAATACATTTAATTCAATAATATAATCAAACCAAAAACACTGAAATGTGAAATAGAGCGCCAAGTTCACACATCACTGAGCAAAGTCGCAAAATCGTTTTCAGTGTCTGATGACGAATTTCCCCCACGAATCATTATCACTCAATTCTGCAAGTGTCTGATTTACTATCACTGTTCTCTAGCTGATCAAACCCGCTTTTGACCTAAAGGGACGCTTTTTGGACGCCATGGACGTTTCCCAGTTTCCAGGCAGAAAAAAACAGACAAAATGCATGCAGGGCGCCAGACAAAGCACTCGGGACAAAATGTATGTGAAATGGGTTTAAACAGCAATGTTTTGCTATGTAAAATTTGTTAGGAAAAAAAATGAAATTTTTTCAAATTTCCCGCCGCCGCCCGTACGTCCGACGTCACAGGGATCGGAACACAGAAGCCGGATGCCGGCATCGGCCGGAGGAGATGGCTGGGGACGCTGCAGGGGACACATCGCGGGAGCGAAGGACAAGGTAAGCTCTGCAGGGACTCCCTATGCAACGCCGCATGGTAAGCCGAGTGTAGCTCGGAGTTACCGCTTTTGGTACAGACATTTTACCCCGAGCTACACTCGGGAATACCGCCAGGGAGGATAACAGTAAACTAACAAGAGAATATGTGAAGCGAGGATCGGCAACCCTTCGATTGCAAGTGGCCCCCACTTACTAGAATGGGTTGTGTTTGGCTGCTTCTCTAAAAAGTGTTCCAAGTATTTTTGACAGGTGATGAGGAAACAAAGTGTTGTCTCCCCACCGCCTGATTTAAAGTACAGCAATGATAGGTTTAAATCAGGCAGTGAGGGGGTGACTTTTTGCCCAGTGATCTTTGACTTCTCCCATGTTTGTCAGGTAGATCTCCACCTCTTTAAGGTTGCCTACCCCTGATGTAAAACTAACCTCCAGGAAAAGTCTACACAGCAAAAAAAAAAAAAATCTTCAATGGTGTTTTTGGGGTTCAAAATAGTGCCGCAAAATTAACTCATCTCCAGGGATTATTTGGATTGCATACATACACTATATTGCCAAAAGTATTGGTCGGTCGGCCGGCCTTTCCACGCACATGAACTTTAATGGCCTCCCAGTCTTAGTCCGTAGGATTCAATATTGACTTGGCCCCGCCCTTTGCAGCTATAACAGCTTCAACTCTTCTGGGAAGGCCGTCCACAAGGTTTAGGAGGGTGTCTATGGGAAGGTTGGACCATTCTTCCAGAAGCACATTTGTCAGGTCAGGCACTGATGTCGGGGGAGGAGGCCTGGCTCGCAGTCTCCGCTCTAATTCATCCCAAAGGTGTTCTATGGGGTTGAGGTCAGGACTCTGTGCAGGACAGTCAAGTTCCTCCACCCCAAACTGGCTCCTCCATGTCTTTATGGACCTTGCTTTGTGCACTGGTGTGCAGTCATGTTGGAACAGGAAGGGGTCATCCCCAAACTCTTCACACAAAGTTGGGAGCATGAAATTGTCCAAAATGTCTTGGTATGCTGACGCCTTAAGAGTTCCCTTCACTGGAACTAGGGGGCCAGGCCCAACCTCTGAAAAACGACCCCACACCATAATCCCCCCTCCACCAAACTTTACACTTGGCACAATGCAGTCAGGCAAGTACCGTTCTTCTGGCAATCGCCAAACCCAGACACATCCATCAGATTGCCAGACAGAGAAGCGTTATTGGTCACTCCAGAGAATATGTTTCCGCTGCTCTAGAGTCCAGTGGCGGCGTGCTTTACAGCACTGTATCCGACACTTTGCATTGCACTTGGTGATGTAAGGCTTGGATGCAGCTGCTCGGCCATGGAAACCCATTCCATGAAGCTCTCTACGCACTGTTGTTGTGCTAATCTGAAGGCCACTCGAAGTTTGGAGATCTTTAGCTATTGACTCTGCAGACAGTTGCCAAATTCTGCGCACTTCAGCATCCGTTGACCCTGCTCTGTCATTTTATGTGGCTTGGTACTTTGTTATAATCCCACTAACAGTTGAGCGTGGAACATTTAATAGCAAGGAAATGTCACGGATGGACTTATTGCACAGGTGGCCACCTATCACGGGACCACGCTCGGATTCACTGAGCTCCTGAGAGTTATCAATTTTTTCGCAAATGTTTGTAGAAGCAGTCTGCATGCCTATGTGATGATTTTATACACCTGTGGCCATGGAGGTGATTGGAACACCTGAATCCAATGATTTGGAGGGGGGGCCCCAATACATTTGGCAATATAGTGTACATTGGTCATGCTTGGCAGTGTTGAGGGAGCAACCCCCTGTGGTCAGTGTGCAGTGTGGAAGTTGCTTGCACAGAACTGGAGTATGACCCAGAATATTGTGGATATCACTCTAGTAGCTCTGACTGCTACAGTGTTTTTCAGTTTCCCCAGCAGCCCATCGGGTATGAGCTATGCATACTTTGTGCCAAGCTAGACCAATGTAAGTATGCAATACAAATCATTTCTGAGATATACGAGTCTCATACTGGATCTTAACATTTAGTGACCTTTTGATGGATCAAGGTACATGGACTTCCTATGTAAACAGCTACATAAACAGCTTAAATACATATATTATTTGTATATATATACAGTCAGGTCCATAAATATTTGGACATCGACACAATTCTAACATTTTTGGCTCTATACACCACGACAATGGATTTGCAATGAAACGAACAAGATGTGCTTTAACTGCAGACTGTCAGCTTTAATTTGAGGGTATTTACATCCAAATCAGGTGAACAGAGTAGGAATTACAACAGTTTGCATATGTGCCTCCCACTTGTTAAGCGACCAAAAGTAATGGGACAGAATCATAATCATAAATCAAACTTTCACTTTTTAATACTTGGTTGCAAATCCTTTGCAGTCAATTACAACCTGAAGTCTGGAACGCATAGACATCACCAGACGCTGGGTTTCATCCCTGGTGATGCTCTGCCAGGCCTCTACTGCAACTGCCTTCAGTTCCTTCAGTTCTTGGGGCATTTTCCCTTCAGTTTTGTCTTCAGCAAGTGAAATGCATGCTCAATCGGATTCAGGTCAGGTGATTGACTTGGCCATTGCAGAACATTCCACTTCTTTCCCTATAAAAACTCTTTGGTTGCTTTTGCAGTATGCTTTGGGTCATAATAATAATAATAATAATAATTGTCCATCTGCACTGTGAAGCGTCCAATGAGTTGTGAAGCATTTGGCTGAATATGAGCCGATAATATTGCCCGAAACACTTCAGAATTCATCCGGCTGCTTTTGTCAGCAGTCACATCATCAATAAATACAAGAGAACCAGTTCCATTGGCAGCCATACATGCCCACGCCATGACACTACCACCACCATGCTTCACTGATGAGGTGGTATGCTTAGGATCATGAGCAGTTCCTTCCCTTCTCCATACTCTTCTCTTCCCATCACTCTGGTACAAGTTGATGTCGGTCTCATCTGTCCATAGGATGTTGTTCCAGAACTGTGAAGGTTTTTTTACATGTCGTTTGGCAAACTCTAATCTGGCCTTCCTGTTTTTGAGGCTCACCAATGGTTTCCATCTTGTGGTGAACCCTCTGTATTCACTCTGGTGAAGTCTTCTCTTGATTGGTGACTTTGACACACATACACCTACCTCCTGGAGAGTGTTCTTGATCTGGCCAACTGTTGTGAAGGGTGTTTTCTTCACCAGGGAAAGAATTCTTCAGTCATCCACCACAGTTGTTTTCCGTGGTCTTCCGGGTCTTTTGGTGTTGCTGAGCTCACTGGTGCGTTCCTTCTTTTTAAGAATGTTCCAAACAGTTGTTTTGGCCACGCCTAATGTTTTTTCTATCTCTCTGATGGGTTTGTTTTGTTTTTTCAGCCTAATGATAGCTTGCTTCACTGATAGTGACAGCTCTTTGGATCTCATCTTGAGAGTTGACAGCAACAGATTCCAAATGCAAATAGCACACTTGAAATGAACTCTGGACCTTTTATCTGCTCATTGTAATTGGGATAATGAGGGAATAACACACACCTGGCCATGGAACAGCTGAGAAGCCAATTGTCCCATTACTTTTGGTCCCTTAACAAGTGAGAGGCACATATGCAAACTGTTGTAATTCCTACACCATTCACCTGATTTGGATGTAAATACCCTCAAATTAAAGCTGACAGTCTGCAGTTAAAGCACATCTTGTTTGTTTCATTTCACATCCATTGTGGTGGTGTATAGAGCCAAAAATGTTAGAATTGTGTCGATGTTCCAATATTTATGGACCTGACTGTATATATATATATATATATATATATATATACACACACACTGTCTTACTTTCCATTTGATTTATAATTCTGTATATGAAGACATGTTTAGGTACTTCTAGATTCATATAAATTACATTTATGGCAGAATATTCCTTTAAAAAGAATGAAATTTATTTTAACCTACAACTAGCATATGTGCAAGAATTTGTCTAATATAAGCTTCTGTCATTCCTTGAAAAGCAGTACTTTGAACTTAGAAAAAGGAGAAACATCACCAGGAGCCAGTCAGGTACTGCTACTTGACTGTGGCTAATAGGGAACATGCTGACAGGAGGAAAGAGCAAAGTGAGCACAAATGATATGTTTAGTGCTGCCTTTTTATTGTCCGATCAGCAGGCTGTGGGCAGGGAGACGATACCACTGTATTTCTTAACTCTATTAGACAAAGTGGTGTCACCCTAATGGCTGAGTTATCTGCCAGAGGTATATGAATCACTTGACTGGCTGGTCTGGAATACAAATATAGCAGAACAGACAGTTCACATGTGTATTTAAAATGAGTATTTAGCCATTCACCTACAGATTTAATTCTCTGGCCTCATCTAAACCAAAGCAGTGAGAGTGCAAACCTGAGATTGTGTTTTACAGACAAAAGGGCTTCGAGGTGACGACAGAAAGCTTTTATGTGTCTATATAAAGAAGGTTGGCAAATTTAGGGTAAAAAAAAAAGTTTTTTTTAGGACATGTAGGTAATACACAGCTCTGATCGCAAGAAAGGTTACTTCCTCCAAGTATCTGTGCCACCCAGTGATAGTATATTGTACCTACCAAGCTAATGGAGTCCGGATCAAACTTCTTCCGTGGAGGTAATGGAGGAGGAAGCAGAGGATCTTCACTTAACCTGTGCAGGTTATTATAAGAATTGAAGAAGGACTCTGTCAACAAAATGTGGAGAAAACTGAGTGAAATATATATTACATATATGTTTTGTTCACTTTGGTCTACCATTCTATCTATCCCAACTCATAGAATATTCAAACTATACAATTAATATACCATATGGTCAAGCATGCATTGAAAATCTGACTATCACACCTATATGAGCTTGTTGAAAATTCTATTTGAAAACCATGGGCATTACTATAGAGAGTTACCAATGCCACCACCCCCATATATATGCAGCTATAATAGCATGCACTCTCCTAGGAAGACTTTTTACAAATTTTGGAGTATGTTTATGGGAATGTGTGCTTGGATTCTAGTATTGCACAAGGTGGTCTGGTTTGCTGCCTATGTTCCAATCAATCCCAAAGGTGTTCGGCAGATTTAGGCCCCTTTTCACACAAACAAACATCCATTCTCCTCTATGTAGCGGTGGGTGTAAACGGAAACGTGTCCTCCGCTCCCTCAAGGTTCTGTCCTTAGACCCCTTCTCTTCTCCATCTACACCTCCTCCCTTGGTCACTTGATAAACTCCCATGGCTTTAAGTACCATCTCTATGCTGATGACACACAAATATCTTTCTACTCCTCACCTCACCCCTTCAGTCTCCTCTCGCATTACTAACCTACTAAGTGACATATCAGCATGGATGTCACTCCACTTCCTCAAACTCAATCTTTCCAAAACTGAGCTCTTAGTATTCCCCCCAGATCCTGCCCCCTCCCCTGACTTCACCATCAAGATCAATAACACAACCATCAGTCCCTCCCCTCATGCCAGGGTACTAGGTGTAATTCTAGACTCCCATCTGTTCTTTCAGCCCCAAATCCAATCACTGTCCAAATCTTGTAGACTTCACCTCCACAACATCTCCAAGATACGCCCGTTCCTAACCTTGGAAACCACTAAGCAACTTATTCACTCCCTTGTTATATCTCGCCTTGACTATTGTAACTCCCTCCTCATTGGCCTACCTCATCGCAGGCTATCCCCTCTTCAGTCTAACATGAATGCTGCTGCCAGACTCATCCACCTTACTAACTGTTCCATATCAGCCATCCCTCTCTGCCAATCCCTCAACTGGCCTCCACTCAGTGTCCTCCACCCCTCTCTGCCAATCCCTCCACTGGCCTCCACTCAGTGTCCTCCATCCCTCTCTGCCAATCCCTCCACTGGCCTCCATTCAGTGTCCTCCACCCCTCTCTGCCAATCCCTCCACTGGCCTCCATTCAGTGTCCTCCACCCCTCTCTGCCAATCCATCCACTGGCTTCCCGTTGCCCAACGAATAAAATTCAAAACTTTAACAATAACATATAAAGCCATTTATAACTCTGCCCCAAATTACTTCACCGATCTTGTCTCCAAATATCACCCAAATCGTCCTCTCCGCTCCTCACACGACCTCCTGCTCTCTAGCTCCCTTGTCTCCTCCTCCCATGCTTGTCTCCAGGACTTCTCCAGAGCCTCCCCATCCTCTGGAACTCTCTACCCCAATTTATCAGACTATCGCCTACTCTGCTCACTTTTAGGTGATCTCTGAAAACCTCTCTCTTCAGAGAAGCCTATCCTGCCCTCAGCTAATACTGGAATCTTCTACTCTTCCTACTAGTCCATCCCCCACAGTTATTAACTTTTGTACCACTAGTCCCTCCCTCCTAGATTGTAAGCTCCCAGGAGCAGGGCCCTCCTATCCCTCTTCTATTGAACTGTATTGTTGCTGTATTGTCTCCCTTTATATTGTAAAGCGCTGAGCAAACTGTTGGCGCTATATAAATCCTGTATAATAATAATAATACACCTACCTACAATCAATCTGATCCACCAAAAACAGCAGATAGAATCGGAAGGCAGTCAGGTGTAAACAGGGATGTGGTCTGTTTACATCTGACCGCCCATAAAGGACAGTGGGCTGTTTACGTGTCTGCTCTGCATAAGCAGAGCGATCACGGACCTGTCATCCACCTGCTCAGCGGGATAAGTGGACAGATTCCCTGCTGAGCAGGCGGATCACAGGTGGATTCCGCTCCATGTGAAATGGGCCTTAAAGTCAGGACCATGTGAGTTTCTCCACACAAAATTTATCAAACCATGGGGTTGATTTACTAAAACTAGAGTGCAAAATCCAGTGCAGCTGTGCACGGTAGCAAATCAGCTCCTAACTTCACCTTGTTCTATTGAGCTTTCAGAAATAAAAACTGGAAACTGATTAGTTTATATGCACAGCTGCACCAGATTTTGCACTCTCCAGTTTTAGTAAATCAACCCCACGTCTTCATGGGCTTGGTTTAGTGCACACGTCACGCTGGAGCAAAAAAATTGCCTTGCCGAAATTGTTGCCAAAAGGTTCAAATAACAAAAGAGTCTAAAATAAAATTATCATTGTATGCTGTAGCATTAATGGGACTCTTCACGCAAAAGAACTGAACGCAATAATTTGGAGGGGTGTTCACCCACTTTTGGCCATATATTAGGTGCAATATTCAGATGGCCACAAAGTTTTGACCGCATAGTTTAATTAGAATATAAAACCAATATATACTTACTGGGATTCGGCAGAAGAACTGGGGCAAAAATGCTGTTGCTGCCTGTTAAAGGTAAACAAACACTCTTTATTGTACATCACAGGACACAGAGCAGGCTATTCATGATGTGGGCTATATGCCACCTATAGGTGAATAAACACTGGAAGATCAATCAAACAGGAAGTCCTCCCCTATATAACCCCTCCTACACAAGAAGTACTTCAGTTTTTCCACCAGTGTCTGGTATATGGCCACTGGTATGCTGCATCTGCTCAGTTTTTTGCTTGTGTTCTAGGAGGATGGCTGCTTTTTTTCAGCTTTGCTGTTTTAAAGACTTTCCTGTGATTTTTCAAGCAACTTTCATTCTTAGATCTACGTGGTTGCTAGTGTTCTGCACCTTCCCACAGTTACATAGACTGGCTGAAAAAAGACAAAAGTCCATCCAGGTCAACCATTAAAAAAAAAGTTATAATCCTATACCCACAGTTGATCCAGAGGAAAGCGAATAACCCAGCAAAGCATGATCCAATTTGCTCCTGCAGGGGAAAAAATACCTTCCTGATCCCCCGAGAGGCAATCGGATATTCCCTGGATCAACTTTACCTATAAAATGTTAGTAGCCAGTTATTTCTGTGTATCTAAGAAAGAATCCAGGACTTTTTTAAAGCAATCCACTGAGCTGGCCAGAACCAGGAAGCTTGAGGGAGTCTATTCCACATTCTCACAGCTCTTACTGTGAAGAAACCTTTCCGTGTTTGGAGATTAAATTTCTTTTCCTCCAGACGTAAAGAGTGCCCCCTTGTCCTCTGTGATGACCTCAGGGTGAATAACTCTACATTGAGTTCACTATATGAACCACTGATGTATTTATACATGGAGATCATATCCCCCCCTATGTATTATACATGGAGAACATATCCCCCCTTATGTATTATACATGGAGATTCCCCCCTTATGTATTATACATGGAGAACATATCCCCCCCCTTATGTATTATACATGGAGAACATATCCCCCCTTATGTATTATACATGGAGATCATATCCCCCCCTTATGTATTATACATGGAGATCATATCCCCCCTTTATGTATTATACATGGTGATCATATCCCCCCCTTATGTATTATACATGGAGATCATATCCCCCTTATGTATTATACATGGAGATCATATCCCCCCTTATGTATTATACATGGAGATCATATCCCCCCTTATGTATTATACATGGAGATCATATCCCCCCCTTATGTATTATACATGGAGATCATATCCCCCCTTATGTATTATACATGGTGATCATATCCCCCCTTATGTATTATACATGGAGATCATATCCCCCCTTATGTATTATACATGGTGATCATATCCCCCCTTATGTATTATACATGGAGATCATATCCCCCCTTATGTATTATACATGGAGATCATATCCCCCCTTATGTATTTATACAGGAGATCATATCCCCCCTTTATGTATTATACATGGAGATCATATCCCCCTTATGTATTATACATGGAGATCATATCCCCCTTATGTATTATACATGGAGATCATATCCCCCCTTATGTATTATACATGGAGATCATATCCCCCCTTATGTATTATACATGGAGATCATATCCCCCCTTATGTATTATACATGGAGATCATATCCCCCCTTATGTATTATACATGGAGATCATATCCCCCCTTATGTATTATACATGGAGATCATATCCCCCTTATGTATTATACATGGAGATCATATCCCCCCTTATGTATTATACATGGAGATCATATCCCCCCTTATGTATTATACATGGAGATCATATCCCCCTTATGTATTATACATGGAGATCACATCCCCCCTTATGTATTATACATGGTGATCATATCCCCCCTTTATGTATTATACATGGAGATCATATCCCCCTTATGTATTACACATGGAGATCATATCCCTCCTTATGTATTATACATGGAGATCATATCCCCCTTATGTATTATACATGGAGATCATATCCCCCCTTATGTATTATACATGGTGATCATATCCCCCCCTTATGTATTATACATGGAGATCATATCCCCCTTATGTATTATACATGGAGATCATATCCCCCCTTATGTATTATACATGGAGATCATATCCCCCCTTATGTATTATACATGGAGATCATATCCCCCTTATGTATTATACATGGAGATCATATCCCCCTTATGTATTATACCCCCCCCTTATGTATTATACATGGAGATCATATCCCCCCTTATGTATTATACATGGAGATCATATCCCCCCTTATGTATTATACATGGAGATCATATCCCCCCTTATGTATTATACATGGAGATCATATCCCCCCTTATGTATTATACATGGAGATCATATCCCCCCTTATGTATTATACATGGTGATCATATCCCCCCTTATGTATTATACATGGAGATCATATCCCCCTTATGTATTATACATGGAGATCATATCCTCCTTATGTATGTATATTATGTACTTTCTCCAGTTCCCCAATGTTCTTTTTGTGGAACATTGATCTGGCGTTATCAGCCTTTCTTTTGGGCTGTCCTACATCCAGACCCTGCTGCACTGAACATTGCGGGGTAAGCCTGGAAGTAATCCTTCAGCACAGGGTTCCACATAGGTGCCTTCCAGATTGGAGTTGGTTAAGTTCTCTGCAAGCGCCTTCAAGGTAGAGCTGGTGGTATTGCCTCTGAGCTTGCTTTGTCTCTAAAGACTCACTAAGAGCAGGCCTCAGTTTTCCAGCAAAGCAGTAGAGCATGATTATAAACACAGAGAGGTGTGTGACCTGTGTCCTCCAATGGAATCCATGATAAGGATTTTACAGTGAGTACATAAATCTTATGGGAGATCAAACAGCAATCCAACTGAGGGAGGGAAATACAGCAAACCATGTCTAATAATGGAACCAGTGCCCAAAAATCACTTCCAGGCAAACCCCACGACATCCGGTCTAGATGCGGCATTCCCAACAGCCAGGCTGAGGATGGCAGTGCCAGACAGCCTCAGTCATTGAAATAAGCTCTTGTAGCAATGTAGAGAACAGTCTTGATTGAATATAAGAATGTTGTTGAAACAAGGTGCAAGAAAAATAGGTTGTAGATCCCAGTATAGCCTGGTGGTTAGAACTTCCTGTGTCCCTCAATGAAGAAAAATGGAAACTCTTAACCACTTGCCGTCCATCCGCTGTATATAAACGGCCGGACGGTGGCAATCCAGGGGGCGGGTTGCCGTTCATAAACGGCGGCCACCATTTTGGACTGTGCGCGCTCCCACCGGACACAGTGGAACACCGATCGTCGTACGGGACCTCTGTGCGAGGTCCCGATCATGTGATCACTAATTGGCCAATCAGTGATCACATGAAGAGTAGTAAGCAAGATGTAACTTCTGATATCATTGCTTACTACGTGTGAAATCTGTGAATGATCACAGAGGTCACATGGTACAAGGCTATTCACAACAGCCTTGTACCATGTGACAAGCTGTGACCAATCACAGCTCACACAGTATTTCTCAATGGCTGCAAGAATGCAGCCAGAGAGAATGAGAAATGATTGATTTTACAGCCTTATGGGTGTAAAAGCAATCAGTGTAAAAAAAAAATCTTCAGCAACCCCCACAAGTAGTACAGTGTCACCATGGTGACACTGTACTGCTAGGGTGACAGTATGTAAAAAAAAACAAATAATTATATAAAAAAAGTAAAAATGTAAAAAAAAAATTTAAAAATTATAATTTTTGGTTATAAACTAATTTGGGTTATTTTGTTTTACTAAAAAGATAACTGAATACATTTTGGCCAAGATTTATGATGAAATATTATTTATTTGCAAAATTTTATAAGAAAAAAAACACTTTTTTTTTTCAAAATTTTTGGACTTTTTCATTTATATAGCAAAAAAAATAAAAACCCCAGTGGTGAATAAATACCACCAAAATAAAGCTTTATCTGTCTCAAAAATTGATAAAAAATTCATATGGGGACAGTGTTGCATGACCGCGCAATTGTCATTCAAAGTGTGATAGCGCTGAAAGCTGAAAATTGGCCTGGACTGGAAGGGGGTGAAAGTGTCCGGACCTGAAGTGGTTAATTTATTCTTGACCTGAAGTGGTTAATTTATTCTTGGCCTCAAAAGCTCAGCTGTGAAAGACACTGTGCCAGATCCCCAGCAAACAACACCAATCTATCAGCATGGTGCTCCTATTTCCTTTTCTCTTACAAATGCAGGACACTTTTACTGCAACCCCAAAAGCAGATTAGTTTTACAATACAACCAATTTTAAGAAAGGCTGCCTTTTCTTCAAGGACAGTTGGTGATACTGAAAGGGTTAAATAACCATGTGCAAGAAAGAATGAAATACCTACTCAGATCTAGGTCCAAGAAGACGCTGAGTTCAGAGGACGCAGACACAGGAGGAGTAGAGGGGGTGTTGGGGGAAATGGGTGGGGAGGTCGTTGACTCATGTTCGGATTCAGTAATTCTGCTGAAACTGATCTTATAAGGTTCTCTCTCCAGGGGCATAGGGTGTCCGCGCAGCGTTCCAGAGGATGACAAGTGTCTCCCGCTGTTTGGTCGTATGCCTGGTGACTTGAGTGGATATGTGGTTTTCCGTGGCTGTGACAAACAAAGGTTGTGTGATTTAAATTGACACAATGCTTCTGATCCTTCTTTGACTTAAGTTTTCAAGGATTAAGAATCTTAATACTGCAAAAAGTCTGTATTTAGATTTTGACATTTGCAACAAGTCAGTCCAGCTAAGACATGTGTGACACCCTAAAAACAGCCGCAGAGCCTCTTTTCCTGGCATTCCCACAACTCTCAATCATAAATTATCTTTAGACTAAAAACTTGTGAGGTCCCCTCCCCCTAGCCCCCCAAAGCAAATCTAAACCCCCCTTTCCAGATGCCTTTTCACCTCTTTTTGACAGTGGCAGACGGCTGAGGTGTTTACAGCCTTCGTGCAGAAACTGGTGCTATGGCTGTAATCATTGCAGGAAACTGCTACTGTCAAAAATAGGAGACTGTACTCCAGAAACAAGGAATTAAAATGAGGGTGGGAGCCGAGCATGTATTGTGTGCTTACACATGCTGAGATCTATACAACAGCAAAAAATTACTTGAAACCAGGGTGGATAAAAATCAATGATTTTTAAAAAAAAAAAAAAAAAAAAAAAAATCAAAAAAAACAATCGGATTTTTTTTTTTTTTTATTTAAATTTTTTTTGATTTAAATCGGATTTTTTTGATTTAAATCGGATTTTTTTTGATTTTTTTTTTTGATTTAAATCGGATTGTTTTTTATTTAAATCGGATTGTTTTGAATAAAATGCTTTTTGAGGAAAATATATTACCATCCAAAGTTTATTCCATCATGAAATAAAGATTAGTTTTTTAATTATGTAGAATAAGGCTGTATATGTTTAATTTTTTTGGTAAATAAATTCCATGAATCCATTCACAATGTCATGCCCTTCCAGAGGTTTTTGTAAGATTATTGGGCAGTTTCTCTGCCTACAAGATATTATCACAGATGATTGGTTTACTTTTGCAGTTCTCAAAACTGAATTTGACTCAGCGGAGATCACATGCCTCTTCTTCACAGCAAAAATGTTATAACATGAACAGAGTTAAGAAAAAGACCTTCATCCTAACTTCTACAAACCTATGAATACAGAATCAACCCCTTCAGTGCTAAGTTTCAAGAAGTTCAGTGAATAGAATAGAAACAATATTTTTTCTGATTGTTTGGAGTGGAATAGATCTGCACAAGAAGAAAGTGAAACTAAGTGTGAGGAGGAAGGGGCTGACAGTCTAAGTTTCTTCAAATATATATATTTTGTTTAGCCAAATTAGTTACAAACATGGATGTTTAAGCAAATCACATATGCTGGAATGTTATTGTTTCAGATGAATAAATCTTTTTAAATTGTTATTATTAAGGTAATGATTATTTTTCTCCTTCCTAATACAACAGAAAAGTTGTCCAAATATGAATGATTAACCTATTAAACTGGGGATAAAAAACTAATATGAAAAGTTTATTCTAAAAATCTTCATCTACTTGCATATTAAAGTTATACCAGCAAGAATTAGTCTTTATGTAGAAAACTAGGATTTACATCAATCCTTACTGACTAGTGATTTAAATCAAATCCACCCTGCTTGAAACCACATATTTGTATTAATCATGCAGATATGGAAAAGTGTGTTTATATATTACATTCTACATATAATAATATTTTTTTACAGTGGCACTCAGAAGCACAAACTCTCAAAATACTTACAAATCTTGGCGGCTGTTTGCAGCCTCTGGGTTCAATTTCCAGAGATTTATTGAATAAATAATCTGTAAAATCTTTCTCAGGTGTGTTCCCCATCGGGTTCAAATTCTCGAAGAATCTCTACAAACAATGAAACACAAACAGTTACTCTTTCTTGAAGAAGTTACTCAGTATGGGTTATTTACACCAAAAAAAACATAACTGCTGCAGTGAGATATTTCCCATAGAACCAACAGCATTGACTGATTCATTGGATAGCTAAGGTTTTGGGGTTTACTGAACATAGGGGTAACCTAGGTCCTATATAAAGCATATGAATGAACTAATACAAAATTGTATACCCCAGCTTAAAGGAGAAGATCACCTTTAGGAGCATGTTATATGTTATACCCATGGTTAAGGTGTAACATGCTCCTATGCACCCACCTCCCGCAGCCAGTGCCCCCCCTCCTGTGACAGCAGGTGGGTAATCTTCTCCCTGCATCCACTGTCAGGGCTGCGCCAATTACTAACAGTTTCCTGTGAATGAATGGACTACAAGTACCATCAGCCATTGCGGCTAACGGCATGTAGTCCTGAATGAACAGCGAGGGTGCTGGTGAGTGCTCTCATAGTTCAATGATTCTTCTTGCTATTCAGTTACTGCTTACCCATACAGGAGGTACGGCAGACAGCTTACTGAGAGTCTGCAGGATGCTGGCATTGCACCCATGAATTGCTTATCACAGGTGCAATGCTCTACATGCTGAAATGAAAAAAAAAATGCAAATTTTTTTTACCTGGAAAAAAAAAATATGTAGATTATTATTATTTTTACCTTTTTTTTTCTACATTAAAGCGGAGTGCCACTCACCCTGTCAAAAAATAAAAGTCAGCAGCTACAAAAACTGTAGCTGCTGACTTTTAGAAAACAGCCACTTACCTGTCCCTCGGTCCCACGGTGTGTCCCCTGCAGCCCATTTCACTGGCCGTCCTGTATTCCAGGAGACCGGCATCTTCAGTGTGTGGGAACCCAGCTGTGATAGCTTGCGGCTTCACAGCCGGGTACCCACTGCGCATGCGTGAGTAGTGCTGCCCTTCATGAATGGTCCTGTAGTCTTCTGGGATCTGTCCAGGGATGTGTACAGGGAGGGAGGGAGGACACCTTCCTTTTCCGATCGCCTAGGCGGAAGTGGGAGTGGGTACCTGTCAAATTTGGGTACCCGCCCCCCAAAGGTGCCAATCCTTAATGGGGAGCGGGGGAGCAGTCCTTAAAGCATAACTTCCTCTTTTGGGTGGAGCTCCGCTTTAACATTTTTTATTTAAATTCCTATGATAACTTGGCATTTTCTCCCTATATCAAGAGGCACCATTACTAGTTATAGTTATGGCGTGGCTCTATCCAAGGTGGGCTTTTTGCACTTTATCAAGTGGTGGGTTAGTTAGAACATCAGGTTTGTATTTTTGAGTCCCTGCTGAAATTTTCCCCTTCTTCCAATCCACATAACACCCACCATATTGCTGTGAACTGAACTTCCTGTTTCCCCTCCCTAAAGTATATTTTCCCTATATTTCTCTGGAGAATTCGCTAAGAAGCTTGTGCCACCTGACCTACAAAGGAATACATACAGAGTGCACTTCAGAGAGCGGAAATCCAAACGTTTAGCTCACACAATACCCTCAGTGTCACCAGCATAGGAAGTAAGGGAAAATCTCCTCAAAAGGGACACATCAATGAAAACAAGACACAAAAACTATAACTATGATGGATAAGTATTTGTACTTTAAAATACCTGTTGCTGTCCTGCAGCATCCTGAGCTCTTAGTATCCAGGCTTGCACACTTTCTTATCACTTCTGTCTGCCACTGGCATGCAGCTAGGTTACAGAGAGATGAGGTCTGCGACAGGCTAGTCATAATGAAGGATGTACAGCGTGTCATAGTCTCCATCTGTCTGTATCAAAAGTGCAAGCTGGGTCGGGCGAGGCTAAAGAAAGCCGAGCTGTGCCATTATTAAAGAGGAGCTTCAGCCTCCCCCCAAAAAATTCAAAGTCGGTAGCTACGGATACTGTAGCTGCTGACTTATAGGGACACTTACCTGTCTAGCGATCCAGCGCGGTCCTCATCGAGACAGTTCTTCACTGGACTTTGGGTCCTTACCGCCAGCATGTTAACTAAGGGAAACAGTCTATGAAGCCTTGCCTAGGCAATCCAGGCAGAAGTGGGAACGGGTACCTGTCAAAACTAGGTACCTGTCCACCCCCCCCACCCCTTCCCCCTCAAAAAGAAAAACATTGGGTGCCAAATGTTAGAGAGGAGGGGAGAGGAGGCAGACAAGTGGAACTTCCCCATTTGGATGAAGTTCTGCTTTAAGGTCCCTTGTGCAACAGGTATTATCTTCTAGTGCTTACACTTGTGCGTGATTTCATTTGGCCAACTCATTTTGCAAAAAAAATTGATAGATGCAGTAAAAAAAAGTCACTATAGGACCTGTTGATACAACCACTCTTGCGTCACCTATACCCAAAAACAAAAATGTAATATATTGCAGCTTACTAGTCCTTTGATGTGGCGGCTGCATTATTTTCCTTTTTCAGGTTTTATTTTCACCTAGTGATTCTGATACTAACATACTTTCTGTTCCAGAGTGAAAAAGATCACTCACTGTACTGTATCTATGGAGGAGCAGTGTTATCGGCAACAGACCAGACTAGAGCTCCATTGCCCTTCTCCACAATAGAGGGGATGTGATCTGTAGTCCTCAGAGAGAGCAGGGAACAGTGCTAACTGATCCCCTCCCTCCTAGATTGTAAGCTCGAAAGAGCAGGGTCCTCGAACCCCTCGTGTATTGTATTGTTACTGTCTTGTCTCATGTTCTGTGCCCCTTGCTGCTGTACAGCGCTGAGCAAACCTTTTGGCGCTATATAAATACTGTATAATAATAATAATAACTATGCTGCAGAGGCAGACAGCGCAGAAAGTTATCACCTCACATAGGTTTTGGCAGGACCGAAAGGTATTTTTTTTTTACTTATGGCAGGGATATATAGCAAAGCGCTTTCAATGAAATATTTAACAGACCAAACAGGAGCACAGAAGAAAAGCTCATTGTTAGGGTTTACATACACTTTAGGTCTTATACTGCCTTCAAATCTGATTGGTTGCTATTAAACATTTTGTCCTCAGGCCATACCCGGATATCGGTTTCTATCCGTAAACAGTAAGGCTGGTTCTGATACTGCTGAATCTCTCCCGTGATTTCTGCCACTTTCCGCCTCTTGCTGAAATTGATGAGCTCTTTGCCATGTCTCTTCAGGAAGTCCGGGTTACCTTCTTCAGTCTTCAGTATATTGGTTAAATATATTCCTGGAGTAAAAGGAAAACAATCATTTGTTCATTAGTGAGATATATACCCAGTCAACAGAATGAAGATGGAAACCAGGGGGTGGAGCAGCAAACTCAATGTTTTATATATCTTAAACAGTGAAGCGCTAAATAAATAAATAAATAAAATAAATATATATATTAGGTGCCGTCAGTGAATATAAGTGCTATAGTGTAATAATTCCTTGTAGATCACTGGAACATGCCAACCAATGGTGTATATAACTGGAAACAAAACTGAATACTTAATATATCAGTGAGAAATGCTAAATAGATATATAAAATAAAATATAAACACACCAGTGATGAATAATCTAATACCTCCGATAAAAACTTCTTCTCATTCACAGAAGAATATAAATAAATAAAAAAGTGCTCATTAAGTGAACAAATGATCAAAAAAACTCAAAAAGTGAACAAGTGTATATAAAAAAACTTTTCTACGTGCATATACCAAAAATGTATATACATATAACATATATATAGATAAATAAAGTCCATGCAGGTGTAGCTTGTGAAAAAACGTGGTCTTCACTTCTAGTGCGCACACACACACAAATCCTCAAATGGCAGCAGTGCCTGCTCACCTCCCCGCACTGACCCTCAAGGGGCCAAAAGGCTACTTAATCTCCTCTATGGCCAATCTTTCTCCTTCGGTAGCTCAGCAGGGGATCACAGGGTCTCCACTTCTCCTCCACTCATACGTCATATAGGACATAAAACAGAGCTCCCATAGTGTAATATTGTTTATTATAGGCCACTTCTATTGTATATTGGTTGTACTCACAATTTTCTCCCTGGTTACACAGACTTTCCACCTCATCCCATAGGTGTATCACATGAATCACAGGGGAACACCAATATGGCGGCTCCGTTCGGAAATGCGTCCCACGTGACCGGAAGTGACGTATTTCTAAACCGGATATGGCGTACCGACGCGTTGCGTCACGTGCGTCGTGACTTCTCAGGGTTGAACCCTGATGAAGTCACGACGCACGTGACGCAACGCGTCGGTACGCCATATCCGGTTTAGAAATACGTCACTTCCGGTCACGTGGGACGCATGTCCGAACGGAGCCGCCATATTGGTGTTCCCCTGTGATTCATGTGATACACCTATGGGATGAGGTGGAAAGTCTGTGTAACCAGGGAGAAAAATTGTGAGTACAACCAATATACAATAGAAGTGGCCTATAATAAACAATATTACACTATGGGGAGCTCTGTTTTATGTCCTATATGACGTATGAGTGGAGGAGAAGTGGAGACCCTGTGATCCCCTGCTGAGCTACCGAAGGGAGAAAGATTGGCCATAGAGGAGATTAAGTAGCCTTTTGGCCCCTTGAGGGTCAGTGCGGGGAGGTGAGCAGGCACTGCTGCCATTTGAGGATTTGTGTGTGTGTGCGCACTAGAAGTGAAGACCACGTTTTTTCACAAGCTACACCTGCATGGACTTTATTTATCTATATATATGTTATATGTATATACATTTTTGGTATATGCACGTAGAAAAGTTTTTTTATATACACTTGTTCACTTTTTGAGTTTTTGATCATTTGTTCACTTAATGAGCACTTTTTTATTTATTTATATTCTTCTGTGAATGAGAAGAAGTTTTTATCGGAGGTATTAGATTATTCATCACTGGTGTGTTTATATTTATTTATATATCTATTTAGCATTTCTCACTGATATATTAAGTATTCAGTTTTGTTTCCAGTTATATACACCATTGGTTGGCATGTTCCAGTGATCTACAAGGAATTATTACACTATAGCACTTATATTCACTGACGGCACCTAATATATATATTTATTTATTTATTTTATTTAGCGCTTCACTGTTTAAGATATATATTATTGGTTACTGAATGGTTAAGTTTTAAGTGACAGCAGCTGTTTCAGATAGGGATTGTGCCTATATTGAGCGCAGGAGGATACTCTAATACAAACTCAATGTTTTGCAGACTGCAGGCCAAGTGAAACCTTAGGCTATGGTCGTTTGGGGAAAAAAAAAAAGGAGCAAAAACAATACTGGACAGTGCGAGGAAATAAAATAACCACACTTTTAAAGCCTGTAATAATAGTTAGCAGTCCTACCACCAATGACTGTGATATTCGCTCTGTGTGCAGAACGCTGAAAGCTCTTCAACCCATGTAGCTCTGCAAGAAATCAAAGCTCAGAGCTACAGGCAATTGGGCTGATAATCACTGCTACTCTTGTACTAGCTAAACATTTTTTTGACCGTGTCTTTTACCACTTGTCCTCCAGAGGATTTACCCCCCCCCCCCTTCCTGACTAGGCCATTTTTTGCATTACTTTAACTGACAATTGCCCGGTCATGCAACGCTGCACCCAAATTAAATTTACATCTTTTTTTTTTCCAATGAATTGAGCTTTCTTTAGGTGGTATTTGATCCCCTTTGCATTTTTATTTTTTGCGCTATAAAAAAAAAAAAAAGTGACAATTTTGAGGGAAAAAAAAAATATATTTTGACTCTTTTGCTATTAAACATGTGCAGTAAAAAAATGTAAAAAAAATCAAATTTCGTCATAACTTTAGGCCAAAATGGATTCTGCGACTTGTCTTAAATAATAATAATATCTTAGAAAAAATAATAATAAATTTAATAATAATAAAATAATAATGTATTATTAAATTAATTGGTTTACGTGAAAGTTATAGCATTTACAAATGGAGGTATATATTCTGGGATTTTTGTTTAATTTTTACTAGTAATGGCGGTGATCAGCAACTTATAGCAAGACTGCGGCAGGCATTCTGACACTGGAGGGAACTGACTTGGTGTCAGTGACATCCCCAGTGATACCAATAAAGTGATCAACGCTTATAAAAAGAACTGACACTGTACTAATGGGCAGGAAGGAGTTAACATGAGGGGCGCTCAAAGGGTTAACTGTGTGCTGGGTGTGTTTTTTACTATGGGGCTGTGTCTGTGTGCTTCACTGTAAGCACACTGTTTTGCATGGCTGTGCTGTGCACAGTCATGTAAAGCAGTGTTCATGAGCTGACAGGGAGGAGAACTGTTTTGTTTACTAGCCTAACCGTTCTCTTCCCCCCCTCCCCCATCATAGATCCTCGACAATCACCAGGTGCCGTTGAGTAATCACCGGCCGGGACACGGTGATTGACAGCCGCGGCTGGTGGCGCGGATAGGGCGCATGCGTGCCCCCTACCCAGAAATACTTATATATACATGTGATTTTGCACACCTGTGCCGCCCTGTAGCAGTATGTCTGCAATAGGGTGGACAGGAAGCGGTTAAATGCCCAGCATTTAATATTCTCAAAAGAGAGGTCTCAAATCTCACTTAGGTTAACAGAAAAGTGGTCCTTTCATGGAATAATTAATTTTTATGGAATATAATATTGATTTGTGATTTGTGAATATTATGATGATACTGTTGTTTAAAATAGGATCACCAGGAATACGCATTTTATATATTTATATGGGGATTTTAATTTTTATCATTACCTTAGACCAGATCATTAAAGTCCATTTTGGGTATAGAAGTTATAATTTATGCAAACCCTATATGTGCGGTATTGGTATTTGGGTGTGCCTGGGGAACTTTAATCGTTCCTATAGTAACACTTGTCTCCCTGGTGATCCTCGTTGTGTTATGCTGTCTGTCTCCACGGTTTCGGATACCGCACACTCGCGCATGCGCGGCAAATTGAGCTACGCCAAAATGGCGCCTATCTCGGAGACATTCGGCACTGGGAAAATGGCGCGCGATTACAATGCAGGCACCATTTCCCCCTATTTAAACGAGAAAGAAGCGTCAGCAGCTGTAAGCTGAACCCCTATGACTACGAGCCATAGCTCGAAACGCGTCAGTGTAGAGCTACAGCTGATTGACGCTATACCGCCGGCACCACGAGGAGTCCCGCGGGCCATCCTGATTTGGTCAGTATTGCTTTTTTATATCCATCTGCTTGAATTTTGGAATAAACATCCTTGACATACTACACTATCGGCTTCCTCTGTTTTTTGAGCCCCTGTGGGAGCTCACCATGATTGCAGAGCGTATGCTATCGGAGTATGGATCATGAGGCAGTGGGGGCTACATGACCAGATCTGACCAGACCTATGTGAGGGCATCTGATGTGTTTTTTGATATACAAATGCGCATAAAGATTGCGTATCTGGTGAGTGTGCAATCTTTACCTTATTTTCTCACCTCACTCACGGTTCCAGTTATTGGATGCCTGAAGATCATCGGTGATCTTGCTTACATTGTCACTTTGGACTTATTTAGTAGATTGGTTATATATCTTTCACAATACTAGCCATATTATATAGTGGCATATATGCTTGCACAATGTCACCTTACTTATTTATTCATATATAAGGCTTATTAATTTATGTATTATCCTATAGACGTCTAAAGTCCGTCTGTGATTTCAACCACACTGTCACTTTTTGATCTACTCTATTTTTGGCAATATTAGCCACAAGATTAGAGTGGCATATAAACTTGAACTGTCACTTTATTGATGATTGACTATTTATATATGAATTTATTATTTATATATCATCTTTGTGAATTTTACTAGCGCTGCACCTGTCAGGGATCCAGGCCGCTCAGCATCGCGCGCATGCGCAGATCGCCGATTCTTCCTGGCCGGCGAACACAGAGATCGCAGCGGCGGCCACGCATGCGCAGTAGCAATCGCGGCCGCACCAATGGAAACACAGGGCGCCCTATTTAAATCTGCCCTGTGCATTTCCAAATTGCCGCAAGGTCTTGTTCCTGTTCCTGTGTTCCTGCTAGTACGTTTCCTTGTTGCCAAACTCTGCCTGTTCTGATTACGCTGACCCTCTCCTGCTCTGACCCCGGCTCGTTCCTGACCATCCCTCTGCCTGACCCTCGGTACCACGCTGCCCGCTATCTGCTGAACCTGGCTTGTGACCCCGACCATTCTCCGCTTGCTCCCCCTGTACCACGCTGCCCGCACGATACCGACCCGGCTAGTCTGACCTCGCTCACTCCTAGCAGTCGCCCATCCATCCCGCTCGGATCGGGATCTGTCATCCCATCCATCCCGCTCGGATCGGGGTCTGTCATCCCCTTCACAGCAGGCTCATCCCGGGCACATACCCTCAGCGGGACCCCTCTGCCACCGCCGGGGGTGCCCAGGGACGCGACCTGGTTCCAGTCTTGCACCAAGTCCATCCCCACCATCAGGGGCCCTGGTGAAAAGGCAGACTGGGACTTAGACTCCGCGTCCTGGGAAACCCCGTGCTGTGGACCACTAGAGATCCTGTTGGGCGGAGCCTGACAGCACCCTTTTATTGTATTACTGTTTACCTTAAGGTCTTATATGGTGCCTTTGGTGCATGGCCGCTATCTTACTGTGTTGATTTAGCGCTCACTTATCTCCAACCTTTTCCTTATAGTTTAATGCAGCCCAGAAACGGAACGGTGTTCCAAGGCAACTGAAGGGTGAAAATCCAGGGTGTAACCTTTGTAAAACTGCAAGTCCCAGCATGAGCTATTATGTTCTGGTGCAATGCCACATTCTCATTTCACTGCAGCCAAAATGCATCAAAATAAATGGAAAGTGACATACCAAAGAAAGGCACACAAGGTGGGTTGATTGACTTGAGTTTTGCCAGATATTTTTTGAAGTGATCCTGACTAAGTTCCACTGCTTCATCCAAGATTTTCCTCTTCCTTTCCTGTAACGCCTGTAATGAAAATTAATGTTTTAGTTTCACTCTCGCACAGTTTTTCTCAAATTTTTAACATAAAACACAAACTATACTAATATCAGGGGCGCAACTACAAACCACGGGGGAAGGGAGGGCTATGGCAACATTTTGATGGAGTCACTTGGCTCTTTTTGTAGCAGCTGGCTGTGTTAACGGTGACAACACGTGTCATTGATCTTAACATATAACACAAAGTATGCCTAGATCAAGGGCAGACAGGAGGACAGCTATCAGCATAGTCAGTACACTACCAAGGATATCAAAGTCCCCGGACTGGGAGTGTCTTGGTTTCTTTATAACACTGTGAGTGCAATTGATTTTAACTACCTTTGACAATAAAACGGTTTAACATTATATGGTCCCTTCTGCTGTTTTCAAAACATGTGAGTAATACGCAGCCCTGTGAGTACCCTGTGAATACCACCACCCATGGTGACACTTCACCAATGAGAAGGCTACAAATGCCAGCATCATCGGGGCTAGGGGTGTACCGAAATTTCGGTGGACGGAACGTTTCGGCCGATATGAATAGAAGCACCGATACAAATGCTGAAAAAACCCCGCCCCCTCGCCGCCACTCGGTAGTTCTCAGCCTTACCTGAGAAGCCATTGAATGATCCTGGCGCTGGGTATAGAGATTACTGAAGGAAAGATGGCCTCCACTCATCTCTATGCCCTTGGAGGTCCGGAGTGATGTCACTTCCGGGTCCAGCCATTTTTTTTTTTTTTAAAAAAAGCTCTAGATCAATGTTTTTTTGATCTAATGCTTTACATTATAGAGAGATGTGGGGTCTTATCAACCCCATATCTCTCCATAAAGAGGACCTGTCACTAATTATTTCTATCACAGGGGATGCATGCATTCCTTGTGATAGGAATTAAAGTGATTACATTTTTTTATTAAAGGAACAGTGCAAAAAAAGTTTAAAGTGTCCCCGTCCCCCGGGCTCGCATGTAGTGGTGAACGCATACGTAGGCCATGCCCACATATGTAAACTGTGTTCAAACCACACACACGTGAGGTGGAGCCGTAGGAGGGAGGAGATGGTGCAGAACAATTCCTATGTCATCCAGTATCTAGAGGAGGGAGCCCTGTATGCAGGCTGAGCGAATATCCACCATTAAAAGGACCTCTGGACCCAGCAGTATCTTATACCTAACCCAGGCTGACTGACCAGATCTCAGAAGGATGCCCACCACCTGCTGATTACAGAATACTACCTAGGATTATTATTCTTACATGCGCATTATCCATGCGCTTCTGGTGAGTGCGCACTTCTGCTATTTCAGTCACAATTCCATTGGGATAACTGCTTCATAGGAAACAGCTGGTGCCTACTGCTGAACTCTATTGATATACTTATTTTCACAAGAGCTTTCTACTTCATTATCTATTGAGCACTGCACTTTATCTATTTACACGTGAGGTATCGCCACGAACTTCGGAGCAAGAGCAACAATTCTAGCACTAGACCTCCTCTGTAACGTTACACTGCTAACATGTAGAAATTTTTAAAGCATCACCCATGGAGACTTTTATTCAGACAACTAAAAGTATCACATCTGACAGAGGAAATGTCACATGTGCTTTTTTCTTTTGTCAGAAAAGATAAAAACAGTACAAACCTCAAAGGTGTGATCCAGCCGATACACAGGAACAGAGTTCACTGCACTCACTATCTCTAAAACACCATTAAAATTGTTTAAATCTTGAAACACCTGAAGGATTTCAATGATTCGACTGAAGACAGCCACCCGCTCCTCAAAATTTTCAGTTTCTACGAGACACCTGTACAACAAAAAAAGAAAAAAAACCCCATGAAACTTTACATTTCAGCTTACGGAGTCAAAATTACCCTTACTACGCCTTATACTATTTTAACAGAAAACAAAATTCCAGCCAAACAGGAAAGGAGGGATAATACCATTGCATCTGAGCTGACTTCACTAGTCAACTATCAGCATCTAAAGGAAAAAGTGGATTTTCACACAGAGTTTTCATAGCTGCTCTCTAGGGATTTCTAGTGAGCTCTGACAACTTCTATGCACAGGTTCTGTTAGATGGAATAGCAAAGGAAATTTAACCAAAAAATTTTAAATTCTCTGACAACTTCTATGCAGAGGTTCTGTTAGATAGAATAGCATAGGAAATTTAACAAAAAAATAAAACATTTTGGTTAGTTGCAGAAAAAAAAATGGCAAGGAAGTTTTCAAATAATATTGCACATGCTTTCCTGCATCTATTCCATACATATACAGATAACCTATCCTAACAAACTTACTTCATGATTGTAGAATGAGGGCTAAGTAAGAGGTACTACCTGGGCACCAGGGTCACCAGGAAAAAATTCGTGAATCTCCCAAATGGGAATGAATACAGCCAAACAAATGTGGCAAAATGTTCTAAACTTCCCTCTGTCTATCCAACACTAGAAAAGGGTACCAGCTTAAGTTCCACTTTAATCAATTAAAATTGAATTCCAGATAAAAGCACAGATGAAAAACATATAAAGAGGAGCAATATTAAAGGCCACAAAACGGTGTCTATTGCTGCCCAGCCCTGTCTGCTTTCCAGTAAACTTTATTAGCTCATTACAAAAAAAAAAAAATACAGAAATCTCCAAAACTTACTTTTCAAACCAAAGTGTCAGATTCGTAGTATGGCGAATCATCTTAAGCAAGTTAGGGGAATTAATTTCTTTGTCTTCTTTTGTCGACCAAACGCTTCCTACAAGTTCTGATGGCTGCACAGCCCTGAATATGGACACAAATATCCAGAGAGCTTAGCGTTTGATGTACATCCTATCAGCGTGTGTTAATATTTTATATAAAAAACAAAGACTGTACATAGTAAATGAAAAAATACAAAACAACAGTTTAAACATGTAAAAAAATTACTAAAATAAAACTGACCTTAAACCACTATAGTTTTCCTTTAACTACATAGGCCATTTAATTCGTTTTATACACAAACAAATACGACCACGCTGGAGGCGGCCTACAAGGTGTTGTTTCGTTGGTATTGGGTTCCGGCTCGATTGGCACAGGCGAACCCTGCCTGCAGTGATCGATGCTGTCGGGGGTTGTGGCCATCGTGGTGATGTATTGCATATCTGGTGGTCATGCCCGAGGCTGCTTCATTTTTGGTCTCGTGTGTTTGGCCTCCTTTTCACCTTGTTCCATCTTTCTATACGACGGGATGCTCGGTATGCTTTGCTTCATTGTCCCATACCGGGCCTCTTGGCTCACCAGCAGAAGTTGGCTTCCTATTTGTTTTTGTCGGCCTCTAGAACAATTGCTCAGGCATGGAAGAGCCCGTTTGTCCCTCTTCAAGGGCTGCAGGATCGTATGACCACTAGGATGCTCAATGAACAGATTTCGAGTATCTGCAATGACTCCCAATGTAAATTCTTGAAAAATGAGCGCCGTGGTTGCAATATACCTTTCCCACGCTCCCCCCGGCTAGCCTGGGGATGTGATGTTGTTCGACTTTGGCGTTCTTGGATCCCTGCTCTTGGTTTGGCTATCTTTTTTTCTTTTGTACTTCTCCTTCCTTATCCCCCTTTTTTTTCTCTGTTTGCTTTGGTGTGGCAGTGGATAGCTGCCTTTAGTCTGAGTTATTATTAGAGTTATATTTATGTTTTGTTATTTAAGTGCCATTGATGGCCCCCGCATGGGCGTATCTTTTGCCCTGTTGGTGTTAAGAGCACTGATTTCTCTAATTTCTAGTTTGTCTATGTGCAATTGATAGCCCCTGCGTGGGCGTGATTTGTTTCTCCTGTGTTAATTGTTATACATTAATAAAAACCATTGAAATACAAAAAATAAAACTGGAGTCCCATTGTTTGCTCCAATGCATTACCTGTACAGGTCGGACTCGATCAAGGTCAGTTGGCGAGCAATCTCTATGGGGTGCAGAGTCATCAAGTCAAATGTCTCAAACTGACCGGCACGGCTAATGTGCCACTCAATGGGAGGTGGCGGGCTCTCGAATGTGATGTTGTGACTGACTCCATTAGCCTGTGCTTGCTTCTTCCTTCTGATTATCTTGGCAATGGACTCAACCCATTTCTTCATGGATTTACCTTAAACACAAAGGTAAATAAAATTCAGGTAAACATCTGTATATGCAAAATCTATACCACCCATGATCAGCTCCTCCAACTACTATTTTTATTGTGATTTATTTATTTCAGGTACTTCTATAGCGCCGTCAATTTACACAGTGCTTTACATATATATTGTACATTCCCATCAGTCCCTAACCCTCAAGGGGCGTACAATCTAAGGTCCCTAACCCTCAAGGGGCGTACAATCTAAGGTCCCTAACCCTCAAGGGGTTGTACAATCTAAGGTCCCTAACTCACATTCATACATACACATACTAGGGCCAATTTAGACAGGATCCAATTAACCTACCAGCATGTCTTTGGAGTGTGGGAGGAAACCGAAGTTCCCAGAGGAACCCCAATCAGGCACAAGGAGAACATGCAAAGTCCAGGCAGGTGGTGCCGTGGTTGGGATTCAAACCAACGACCTTAGTATTCCCAGGTGGAAGTGCTAACCATTTAGCTACTGTGCTGCCCATACTACTGCCTATAGGAGGATTGGACTGGTAACAAAAGAAAAAATAAATTTAGGCAAGCCCAGGGTGACACTTCCTGCTACCAGCATGCCTCGGTTTTTGTAGCAAAGCAGTATCGAAAGCAAGATCATCAACAAAGAAGGATGGCATCTGTGTCCCTCAATGGGATTCAAGAAAAGGATTTTATGCGGAGTACAAAAATAGTATTTTTTTTCTACACAACTTAGTCAACATTGGTGTTTAGAGGGAGGAGGGGATTTTTTTTTTTTTTTTTAATATTGGTTACTATCAACTAGAATTCCACTTTAAATATCCGGTGCACTTCCTGGTGTCACATAGTCTTCTGATGTGTGCTGCTTTTCCATCCAGCAGTCGCTATATCACGACAGGACACAGCATTGAAGCAGCAACTGGATGGAGGAACCGCAGAGAGCTGTGGGAGATAAGTCGATTGACTCTCCAGAAGTGTGACAGATGCTTGAGATTCTTCGGCTGGTATGGCGCCTTAGGAGATCCAAGATTGGAGACACTGGGGTCAGGACAGGTAAGTATTTAATCTCTCCTTTTAAAGTTTTTTTTCTTTCTCATCTATTGAGGGACACAGACGTTCCTAAACCTTTGGATTTTTCCGCTCCCTATAGGGGGATTGGACAATGGCAATTTAAAAAAAAAGTGTAGGTCAGTCCAGTCCCGGATAACCCCTCTTACTACCAGCATGCCTCAATTAGCGTTTATTTGCTGTGCCGCCCCTGCCTTAGTTGGATTGCTTTTTAGATATCCCCAGGGTGAAAGGTTTCCTGTGTCCTCAATGGATGAGAAAAATAGATGTATATGCTTACCTACTTACAGCCCGCTCCGGTCCAGTCATGTGATCCTGCTTACCTGTGTCAGCCAGTGGCAGCTGCAGGGGAGAGGAGGGAATGCTGATAACCATGGGAGACTTGCAATGTTACCGCTCCTAGGCATTCCCAGCCATTGTCGAGTGCTCACTCACTCGCAGCTGCCATTGGCTGACTCAAAGAAGCAAAGACTGGAGTGGTTGAAGAAAAAGATAAGCAAGATATGACAAGGTTGTCTACTATCACTTAGAATCTCAGACTTTACACAAGGGCACATAATGGCTGTGACGGTGACAGAAAGCAGAGGTGACAAGTACTGGAAGCTGACTCTACCTCCAATAATGAAAACCTATAAGTACAGGTTCAATGGGCTAATAGGTCATGTCCGATCCATACCTACCTTTAACACTGGAGATAAAGGTTTCTAATCGATCTAGAAGCTCTTGGTCTCTTTCAAAATCATAGAAATGATGTTCAACCCAATGCCGAAATACATTTAAAACCCTAAAACACAAAAACATATGGTAATATCTACACAGAGAAAAAATAATTCAACATTCCAGTAGTAAAGGGAACAAAAAGAATAACTTACAAGTGACATTAAATCCCCATTTTTAGGCACCTTTAGCGCTGATTTAATCTCTTAACCGAGTATGCAGCTTCTTTATCCTTTAATCCTTGCCTATGTCCCAGTCTAAGTTGGTGACCTGACCACTGACCCAGATTTCTCATGAGATTGGCTTCTTTCTTTCAAATCCTCTGGAGCCACCCTTGCATGCAAGGACTAGAGTTGTGTCTCCCTACATTGTGTGCATCAATGGAAACACACAGCCCCATAGTGTTGGTTTGCAGGGTACTCCCCTACTCCTCCCTTCTTTTCCCCCTCCCCTCTCCAAGCTAACAAACTGGCTCAGAACTGCACTGCCCACTGTCAATGCTTTCCTGTCAAGACCAAACGTTTGGGAAAGCAGCACTGAAGGGGCAGGAGCCAGCAGCATTGAAAGTTGTAAACTGCAATGCTGGGCAAAGAATTTTAACAAATAGGTTACTGGGTAATGTTTATATATATATATATATATATATATATATATATATATATATATATATATATATATATATAATATCTCCATATAAAAAAGGTACATACCCAGACAAAATTGCTCAGTTGCTTTAAGATGCATAAAGGGAGCCCAGACAGACAAAGTTGCAGGAACCTTGTAAATATAATTCACAAGACCCAGCTACTAAAAACTCCACATGTCAATCACATGCCCAGAAACTAAGACTTCACCTAAGACACCAAGGGGTTTATTTACTAAAGCTGGAGAGTGCAAAATCAGACTCCCTTCTGCATAGAAACCAATCAGCTTCCAGGTTTCATTGCCAAAGCTTCATTGAACAAGCTGAGGTTAGAAGCTGATTGGTTTCTATGCAGAAGGGAGTCTGATTTTGGACTCTCCAGCTTTAGTAAATAAACCCCCAAGTGTGTCTCCAGGGATGTGATGAAATCACAGTTCACAACATATTCTGGAAGCCTTCAGTAGTTGACAGAGACCTCAAATCACCTACTCCTGCCCTAGGTCCAACAGTTTTTATACAGATACTTTGTTCCTTTGATCATATTAAATATCATTATTATTATATTTATTATTATGTGGCCTCCCTAGCGGTCTGATTATGTCAGTATTTCTGTGCACAAAGCAGTACATTTTTTTTCCATGGAAATATGTAGTTTTTTTTATTGTAGGCCTGTAATTTTTTGGAATAACTCACTGAAATCTGTCCAAAAAAGAGTCTAGTAAACATCCCGGGTAGGATAAAATTTGAAACACGAAACCATAAATTATAATTTCACAAATAATCATAAAAAATTATCATTTAATAATAATAAATTTAATTCAATAATATAATCAGACCAAAAACACTGAAATGTGAAATATAGCGCCAAGTTCGCACATCGCTGAGCAAAGTCGCAGAATCGTTTTCAGTGTCTGATGATGAATTTCCCCACAAATCATTATCACTCAATTCTGCAAGTGGTTCTAATTTACTATCGCTGTTCTCTAGCCGGTCTAAAACCGCTTTTGACCTAAAGGGACGCTTTTTGGACGCCATGGACATTTCTCAGTTTCCAGGCAGAAAGAACAGTAAAAATGCAGGCAGGGCGCCGGACAAAGCAGTAGGGACAAAATGTATGTGAAATGGTTTGATACAGGAATGTAATACTATGTGATTTTAGTGTATTTAATCACTTTTTGACATTTTTAAATTTCCCGCCAGTTCCGTCCTCCGTACATCCTGACGTCGCAGTGAACGGAACCCAGAAGACAGATGCTGGCATCACCCGGAGGACATTGCCGGGGACACTGCAGGGGGGGACATCGCTGGAGCGCAGGTCAAGGTAAGTGAAGAAGAGATCCCGGAGCAACGCTGCAGTGTATTCCAGAGTGTAGCTCGGGGTTACCGCTTGTGGTGCTGAAACTTTACCCCGAGCTACACTCGGGAATACCGCCAGGGAGGCTACCACAGATGGTAGAACTCGGCCCAGTTCCCTCGTCACTGCCTTTGATTGACAGCAGCGGCAGCCAATGGCTCCCAGTGCCCTGGCAAAGTGAAGGGAAAGAAGAGCTGTAGACGTGCACAGCTCTGGATCTAGGAAGGTTAATACTGTTATTAGCTTCTGATTATAGATAACACTATTATTATTATTGCATTTTATTCTTTTATTATTAGTAGAATTATTATTATAATTTGTCTTTTATACATTTTTCTATACATTTTAAACATATTATGTTAAATATCTTATTTCTTGAAGTATGAATTTATATTGTATCTGTTAACATATGTATTTAACCATACATTGTCCGGTAGACAAATGTTTATGTACACATTGCACCCTTTGACCCTGAAAGAGGGGGATGGATGAGCCCCTGAAACGCACTGTTTACTTCTGTGACTCAGTTTGGCAAAAAGTCAACTGGACATAATAAACAGAGTTGGAACTCTCACTTCTTCACCACATTAATGCATCTCTAGATCCAACGGGGACCAACCTGAGTTGCACTGGCTGAACATATTCTTTTCGAAATCTCTTAAGGTTGGTGCTGATTGGCTGTTCTCCTTTCTCTATTGCCAGTCTGTCTGCTTCTGTGGGTTCAGGATCTGGGATTTCAAACCTAAAAGGGAGAAGGGTAAAAAGAGTTTAACAAATAAAGGCAACGGTGTATGATACACAATGCTTTAACAAACGAAATGCCATTCAGTTAAGGCTTACATCTATTTTAAAGGATCACCGTATCTTTGGCATATCTTTTGTTTAAAAATGAGCCCCTTTTCCACGACCCCCAAATCTTATATGTATTTGATCCTGTTCCTCTGAGATCTTGGCTGTGGGGCCCGCTGCATAGTTGAAAAATCTCCACGCATTCCTATAGAGAGGCCCTTTATTATGTGTCCCAGAAGTGCATGGCCTCTCCATAGGAGAAATAAAATGTAAAGGCCAATAACTATATTTCTATCCCTAGCCGAAGACCATGACAACAAAATGTTTTTTTAGCTTCACGGTAAATGGCATTGCTGCCCTGACACTAGAATAAGGCAAGAGAGTAGGATTCAAAATGGTAAATGCAACACATTCCCTTTGGAAAGTGCTAGGTAGTGTCATGGAAATTTTGTATTTACAGGTTGAACTTTAAATGTGTCATATATGAGTGTTATTCATATGTCTCTCGTGTGGCTTCATTAAAGCTCTGAAGGCTGCAATTGGGCCATGCGCATGTACAATGTATGTATTACAGTACTCAGCTCGGTAATGGATGAGATGGCAGATCTGCACTTATAGACCGGCGTCTATACCACCACGGCATTCGATGCGAATGCCGCCGGCGGTAGGCCGCGGGCCTGTATCCATATATCAGCAGCATAGTACCACATGGACTTCGTACCGCAAGGCGCCAAGCAGTGCGAACTCCGTGTGTAGGCTCATGTATATCTTACAAGCCATTACCAACCTGAACTGTATCTGGATGGATGTGTTTTAATAAAGATCGTATCGGGCCCATTCAGATACAGACTGACACCGTTTAATCTAGGGGATGCTTGTACAGAGAATGGACATACTGCTAGAAGCTGATAGGCTAGGGGGAAATTTACTCTCCTCAGAGAGCTCACCATGGGAAAGGGGGAGGGGAGAACTGGTTTCCAGTATAGATAAAAGGAAAGGCTATGCTCCAATCAGGATATACATTCTGTGTATAGACACTCCCCATTGCATTGTTCTGTGGGAGGGGATTGACCTGACTTCCCCCCCCCCCCTGCGTGGGGGGGGGGGGGGCGTGTGTGTTTGTAATAAAACCAGAGGCTGAGAATGAAAATGCGCTCTATGTGAATTCCAACAGCAACCTGAGAGTGTCGTGTGATCATTCCTAGGTAACTGGAGCTCCATTTCCCCACATCTCGAGATAGCTAACCCAGTTGGAGGCGCAGGAATAGTGGAGTTTAGCTGCAGTCGCGGTAAGCGAGATTTGCACAGCTTTATGGGGGATTGCTGCGCATCCAACTGTGAGTACTCACGGTAAGGAGAAATTCGTAAAAAGCAAATTTCCAAGACAGTAGAAACACAGGATGACTTCATTTAAAATCAATGTATACAATGTATGTACTTGCCTTTCAATGAGCAGACTTAGTAACTCCTGCGGCTTACAAAAAGAGCGATATGTTGTTAGAAAAGTTCGAACGAAGTTAGGATCTGTGGAGGAGAGAACAGGAAAAAAGTCATATCATAGGAGGTCCACAGTAAGACAACTAGCAGAACATTCTGTAAAAAGGCTAAGTTCACCTTTAGAACATGTTACACATTACACTTAGGGTTTAACTTCAACATGTTCCAGCTCCTGCCCCCTTTCCCCTGTGACAGCAGGTAGGGGATCCTCTCCCCCACAGCTGCTGTCACATTAAAAATCCACCTGCAGTTTGTATTGATGTTAGCCTTCTGTAATTACAGCACTCAAATTTGCTGATAGCAACATTCTGACAAGAGGTGAAAGCAGAGTGTCTACTTCATTTATCTGCTGATTCACCAGTTATTTAGTTATTCCTAAAACCATCGCCTTCCCTGCTGTTAAGGTTGAGGAACTGGCCGTGTTACCCGGATTACAAATCTAGATAAGCATTGTGCCAATCAGGATTCTACAGCTTTGCACAATGCTGTCAGTCTAACATTGGCAGTGCACTTTCATGGGTCAAAGGGGAGATGCAATTCCATAATAAAATGGACTTTCCATGCACAAGGATATCCTGAGAGAATTGCACTCCTCTAGAGGGATGGGATGCATTCTTCAGGAATATCAAGTGCCCAGCAATCCCAGGAAGCAGAAGTAAGGCACAGTGATGTCACCAGATCCTCCCAGATGCCAGGACTGGGGTGCAAGGTGAGTATTTTTAATCTTTTTTTTTTTTTAACCAATTCAATATTTTTAAAGCCAAGCTCTGGGCAAATAAAAAAATGATCCCTTTCATCGGGGGTGTAGATCGAGAGGATATGGGCGTGTATAAACACACCTTATAGTTGGGGGGGGGGGGGGGTTACAGGGTTTGGCAATCTGTTTTTCATAGAAAGATCAATTTTTAGTGGCAATCATTTTGCATCAGGATTTCCAACAATCTTATATAGGCGATTGTCAGGTTGTCCACAAACCTTTGGTTATAAAGTGTATATTTACGCGGATCATCGGGCATATAACACAAGATATAAGGCGAGTGCAGATAATATGGTAGCTGCTAGCACAAAAGGCAAGGTAACAAACCCACAGTAATCGATTCAAATGTAAGTGCAGCGCTACACTTACATTTGGATGTTCAGGCTTACCAACCCCCACACACTAACTGAGTGGTACAAGTAGGACATTTCTGGTAATAACCCACCCGGAGGATCCAGCGTTGTCATGCTGAGATCCTCTTTTTTTCTCTGCCACCTCCCAGTCCTGTGCTGCCATGTTCATTGTGGCATTATCAAGAGGCACGCAGGCTCTTCCTGGTTCTGCCAGCGTTCCTCCTGATGATGCCGAATAGGCACGTTGTCTTCCTCATTGCCTCTTGGGATATGTGACATGGACATGGGGATATGTGATGTGGGTGGAGGTGGGGCTGGCCTTTTTTTTTTTTTTTTTTCACAAACAAAACAAAGAAAAAAAAAAAAGACAGCCCTATTCTGGCATTGGAGCAGAAGAAGAACAGAGAGGAGGGAAGTATTTCCTGAGGTTGAAGATCCACTTAAAGCTTCCAACCTGACATACACCCACCTGCATACATATGATATGTCAGTCTTTCAATGAGTTTCACCACAGTCCCTCCCTTTATGATGGGAATTCCGCCTCTACTTTGCACATTGTCCTCAAACACAATGTTCTCTTCCGAATCCGTCTCCACAAAGCGATAGACATCTGGACTTGGTAAACGCAGTGGCTGCTCATTCTCTTCCTGGATCAGCACAGAGTCCAACATCCGATCCAAGGTGCTGCGGTACTGCAGAGTAATCAAAGCCGCCATCCAGTTGTTTTTTTCCTCTGCCGTCTTGGCAGCAAAAATAATGCAGTTCTCATCTTTAGAGAGTAACTCAAAGGCGTGTTTATACTCGCCTGTATCTTCCCGATCTACAACCTGCACCTTCCTCATGATGAACTTCTCCTTCAGGCGGTACTCGGCTGTGTTGTAACCGGGGATGCGAGACTGGCCGTGGTTCATCTTGCAGCTGATCATCAGTCCGTCAAACAGAAAAATGTGTCTCTCGTGTTTGGCCCCGACTCTTGTCAAGGAACCCTCCATGATAAACTCGTTACAGCACTGCCCAATATCTTTCCCTTCCCAGCCATCAATGTTTTTCTGGATCTCGTTCATCTTCTTGATAGCCAGGTGCTTGCTGCGCATTTGACGGTTGTAAAGACGCCAAATAGGTTCTCTGAAAAACAAACAGTAGTGGCTAAGTCTCAAAGGGTACCTAAGGTGCAAATGCATGTCAGACCTACCAGAAGAACTGAACCAAACCGTTTATTGTTGCCAATGACATGGTAATTTAAAGTGGTTATAAAGCCTAACCATTTCTACCTTAATGCATTCCCTAGTAAAAAATGTTCAGGCATCAGTAACCCCCTCACCCCTCTTTTACTTACCGGAGCCCTCCTTAGATCCAGAGCTGTGCACGTCTACAGCTCTTCTCTCCCTTCACTTTGCCGGGGCACTGGGAGCCATTGGCTGCCGCTGATGTCAATCAAGGGCAGTGACGAGGGAACTTGGCCGAGTTCTACTATCTGTGGTAACCTCCCTGGCAGTATTCCCAAGTGTAGCTCGGGGTAAATTTTCAGTACCAAAAGCGGTAACCCCAAACTACACTTGGGCTTACCATGCAGCGCTGCTCCGGGATCTGTTCTTCTCTTACCTTGTCCTGCGCTCCTGCGATGTCCCTCCTGCAGTGTCCCCTGTAATGTCCTCCGGCCGATGCCGGCATCTGTCATCTGGGTTCCGTCCCCTGCGACGTCGGGACGTACGGGGGACGGAACTGGCGGGAAATTTGAAAATGACAAAAAGTGACATTCACTAAATACACTAAAATCACATAATATAACATTCCTGTATCAAACCATTTCACATACATTTTGTCCCGAGTGCTTTGTCCGGCGCCCTGCCTGCATTTTTACCGTTCTTTCTCCCTGGAAACTGAGAAACGTCCATGGCGTCCAAAAAGCGTCCCTTTAGGTCAAAATCGATTTTAGACCGGCTAGAGAACAGCGATAGTAAATCAGAACCACTTGCAGAATTGAGTGATAATGATTCGTGGGGGAAATTCCTCATCAGACACTGAAAACGATTCTGTGACTTTGCTCAGTGATGTGTGAACTTGGCGCTCTATTTCACATTTCAGTGTTTTTGGTTTGATTATATTATTGAATTAAATTTATTATAATATTTTTTATGATTATTTACTAAATAATTTATGATTTCGTGTTTCAAATTTTAAATACCCGGGACGTTTACTAGACTGTTGTTTGGACAGATTTTTAGTGAGTTATTCCTAAAAATTACAGGCCTACAATAAAAAAAATACATATTTCCATGCAAAAAAATTTACCACTTTGAGTACAGAAATATGGACATAATCAGACCACTAGGGAGGTTAATGAACGCAGCAGTGGGGATCAAGAGAAAGCACGCACGAGTGCACCCATGGGAAGTGGCTTCCTATGGGGGCATTGGACAGAGGAGAGGAGCCAGGAGTGCAGGCAGGGGACCCGAGAAGAGGAGGTTCGGGGCAGCTCTGTGCAATTCCATTGCACAGAATAGGTAGGTATAGACATGTTTGTTATTTATAAAAAAAATTACCTTTACAACCGCTTTAAATATCTAAATAGATAATTATTAATTTTCATCTCAGCTTCTAATATGCAAATTAGCAAACCTAAATTAGGCATCCAGAATATTTTAATGCCTCCGCCTGCTTTACTTTAAAGTAAGTCTGTACTTTGATCAAAGTACAGACAAAGCCCTGCGTAAGCTCCAAGTCAAAGCTTAACCAGGGCTAAGGCCCCTCTCCAAACCCCCACATGACAACATCTTCCTGCTGCATCATGGGGGAATGGGTCGCCTGACTTCAGCAGGAGCATATGGGGAAAGCAAGGATCAGCAACCAAAAGGGAGGAGGGCAGTGATTTCTACTATGTAACCTCAATCACAGTGCACTGGTCTGTGCCTGCCCCTATAACTTGAACAATTCTAGATTCCTGAGGTGTTGCTGTACGTATCGATGTGGCATGTGGCTTCAAGGCATACCTGCTTTCAAATTATTCATTACTATGTATATGTTCCAAGTTGAAAGTTTAGAGTCAGGGACCACACTGTGGCAGTGTGGATTTGCAAATGAATGCAACCCAGGGTGGATAAAAATCAATGATTTTTTTTAAAAAATTTAAAAAAATCGGATTTTTTTTATTTAAATCGGATTTGTTTAAATAAAATGCTTTTTGAGGAAAATATATTACCATCCAAAGGTTATTCCATCATGAAATAAAGATTATTTTTTTAATTATGTAGAATAAGGCTGTATATGTTTAATTTTTTTGGTAAATAAATTCCATGAATCCATTCACAATGTCATGCTCTTCCAGAGGTTTGTGTAAGATTATTGGGCAGTTTCTCTGCCTACAAGATATTATCACAGATGTTCGGTTTACTTTGCAGTTCTCAAAACTGAATTTGACTCAGCGGAGATCACATGCCTCTTCTTCACAGCAAAAATGTTATAACATGAACAGAGTTAAGAAAAAGACCTTCATCCTAACTTCTACAAACCTATGAATACAGAATCAACCCCTTCAGTGCTAAGTTTCAAGAAGTTCAGTGAATAGAATAGAAACAATATTTTTCTGATTGTTTGGAGTGGAATAGATCTGCACAGAAGAAAGTGAAACTAAGTGTGAGGAGGAAGGGGCTGACAGTCTAAGTTTCTTAAAATATATATATTTTGTTTAGCCGAATTAGTTACCAAACATGGATGTTTAAGCAAATCACATATGCTGGAATGTTATTGTTTCAGTTGAATAAATCTATGTAAATTGTTATTATTAAGGTAATGATTATTTTTCTCCTTCCTAAGTACAACAGAAAAGTTGTCCAAATATGAATGATTAACCTATTAAACTGGGGATAAAAAAACTAATATGAAAAGTTGTTATTCTAAAAATCTTCATCTACTTGTATATTAAAGTTATACCAGCAAGAATTAGTCTTTATGTAGAAAACTAGGATTTACATCAAGCCTTACTGACTAGGGATTTAAATCATGATTTAAATCAGTTTGATTTAAATCAAATCCACTCTGATGCAATCCAAACCTTTTTAACCTTAATGTTAAAAGAAATTAAGAAAGCTTTTTGTGCCGACTAGCTGAAGATGGTGCTGAGGAATTTTAGTATTGTTATGTCCCTATAGCTGACACACAAAGCACATAAAGAAAAGCTTCTCTCCTTTTTTAATCTCTTTTTTTTGGTTGTGGCCCTTCATAGGCCCCCTCCTTTGTTGGATTGTACAGAGAACCTGGACCACCCTCTCCCCTCCGATCATGCACGTGCAGATCCCGTGTACTTGAGCCCTATTGTGTACTATTACGCAAGAATGTCCTGATGTAACGGTTAAACTGGCGGTTATTGTTGTTCCCCCTCCATCTGCCTTTGTAATTGTGGACTTATCGGCCCATTCCCTTTTTGTCTCTTATTTACACCTGTTATAATAAGCACTTTGTAAATGAAAAAAAAAAAACTCTTCTTGGTTTAAGGAAGATCATTTTTCTTTTTTGACACCCTTATTTAAATATGATCAGCTATGGCATGCTTGGAAGGAGTAACAACCACCTACGCATCCTATTTTGTCACTACTTCCACATGTATATTTTTCCACAAAAAGGAGTTGTTTCATGAAACTGTCTAATGCAGGGGTGTCCAAACTTTTTTCAAAGAGGGCCAGATTGGATGAAGTGAACATGGTGGAGGGCCGAACATTTTTCCGAACATTCTTTGATCCATTACAATTAAATGCAAATAAATTATTTTATGCCAAGTTAATTGTAAACGACATACTTTTCATTTCATAACATTAAGATCAACTGACAGCTGAGTTTTCACAATGTATTGAAAATAAATTTAAAAAAAAAACTTACCTGCACTAATGTGAAGGGTGAAAAAGGTAGCTGGAGCTGAAGTCTCTGCTCGGCAGCCGGGAGGGGAAGAGAAACACACTTCACGCTGGAAGCCTGGCCCTGACGTCACCCCGCCCTCTGTCGCTCCCAGCGCGGCGCAGTCACGCATGCACACTGCTCTCAAGCAGAAGACTGTCTGCCACAGAAGGGAGGGCCGTGCGACAGCCGCATTTACACAGACCAGGGAGAACGCGCCGCAGTCAGGCATGCGCACTGCCCTCTGCTCTCAAGCAGAAGACTGTCTGCCATAGAAGGGAGGGCCGTGGGAGGGCCACATTACACAGAGCAGGGAGGGCTGTTGGAGGGCCGTATTAAACCGACCCCCGGGCCGAAAATGGCCCGCGGGCCAGACTTTGGACATGCCTGGTCTAATGCCCTGTGTAAAAGAGTTCCTCCAGCTGGAAAGAAGAGTGCCCTAGCTGCAGTATTCCCAATTACAGCGCTTAAAGCCTTTAGCTCTACTGTCAATGACATCATCCCATGAGTATCAAGAGTCTGACTCTCAAGCGCATCAGCTTCTTTTCTCTTATGAATTTGGAACTTTACAGCCCTCTTCCCATATCATTCTCTGCATCTACTATAACTCCTGGATTCAACAATCCCCTGCCAGCTATAACTGGTGCTACATCAAATTATAGTATACATCAATCACAAGATATCATATTTATAACTGGCAAGGGAGAAGAACGAAGCCTGGACCGGGGAAACTTGCCAAATGTTTTGCGCTACCAGACCAAGGATAATTTGTGATGCAGGAAGAGCACGGTGAGGGGGGCAACTGTGCTAGTTGTAAAATGTAAAGAAGACTAGCAAGAACCATACAGGTAAAGTGCCCTCTGTCAAGAAAATATCCTGGGCTTTAGTACACATACAAAATTTACATCCATTTAACTCACTTTTGGTCTCCAAGTTAGACTTTTATTGCACAGGGCAACTGCAGGAATGAATGTAGCATCTTATGACACTTCGCTATGTCAGCAGTATTGCACAGCTCTCCTTAGGTAAGCTCCTTGCCACCATAGAAGAGCTCCCCAAGAAAAAAATAAAAGGTCAACCAACTTTTCAGTGTCTTACTGTTTCACGGTTCTGTTCACATGACCCCCCACCTATTTTTTTTTTTATTACACTAAGCCCCCTACCTTTTGTCCACTATGCCGTAGCTTGTACACTTCAAAAAGGAAAAAAAACTGTATAAACTGCCCATCCTGCCCATGGCATGAAGAAATGGCAGTTCATATGTGGACAATTTTACAATTTCTGAGAAGTGCAATGTATCCTTCCACAGCCAGTCAATGCTAGAGTAAATGCCAACTCAAGATTGGCAGTAACATGACAGCCAGGCACAGGGAAGAGAAGCCAGAACCTTTGCTCTGGGTGGCTGAATCCTTCAACTAGACCTCTGTGGAACGTGAAGTATGGAACCAGCCTGGTGACATAGGGATGTTCTTTTGTCACAATATGTTTTTCATGGCTTTAACTTAGTCATTTGTGCACCATTATGGCTACGCAGCGCAAGTAGTCATCTTGGTGCAAATTTACCAAACACTGCAAAGACTACTTTAACCACTTCCAGTCCGGACACTTTTACCCCCTTCCTGTCCAGGGCAATTTTCAGCTTTCAGCGCTACCACACTTTGAATGACAATTGCACGGTCATGCAACACTGTACCCAATTGAATTTTTTACCATTTTTTTGAGACAGATAAAGCTTTATTTTGGTGGTATTTATTCACCGCTGGGATTTTTATTTTTTTTGCTATGTAAATGAAAAAGTCAAAAAATGTTGAAAAAAAGTGTTTTTTTTTTTTTAAATTTTGCAAATAAATAATATTTCATCATAAATCTTTGCCAAAATTTATTCCGTTATCTTTTTAGTAGAAAAACAAATCCAAATTAATTTATAACCTAAAATTATAATTTTTAAACATTTTTTTTTACATTTTTATTTTATTTTTTTATATTATTATTTTTTTTTTTTTTTTTTTTTTTTTTTTTACATACTGTCAACCTAGCAGTACAGTATCACCATGGTGACACTGTACTACTTGTGGGGGGGGATGAAGATTTTTTTTTTTTTTTTTTTTTTTTACACGGATTGCTTTTACACCCATATAGGATGTAAAAGCAATCATTTCTCTTTCTCTCTGTGTGCATTCTTGCACTCATTGAGAAGTACTGAGTGAGCTGTGATTGGTCACAGCTTGTCACATGGTACAAGGCTGTTGTGAATAGCCTTGTACCATGTGACCTCTGTGATCATTCACAGATTTCACACGTAGTAAGCAATGATGTCACAAGTGACATCTTGCTTACTACTTTGCATGTGATCACTGATTGGTCAACCAGTGATCACATGATCGGGACCTCGTACAGAGGTCCCGTCCGACGATCGGTGTTTCACTGTGTCCGGAGGACACAGCGGGCACCGGATCGCGGTGCTGCGTGCTCCCAGGGAGCGCGCACAAGCAGGGTGCGGGGAGGCCGTTTATAAACGGCCACCCGACCCTGCAGTGCCACCGTCTGGCCGTTTATATGCAACGGCCGGTCGGGAAGTGGTTAACAAATAAATTATATTAAAAATCACTACAAGTGTTTAAGCAGCAAAGCCCATTCTGATACATTATCATTCTAGAGCACGTGTCAAACACAAGGTACGTGGGACAAATTTGACCTGCCAGGCCATATCATGTTGCCTTTAAACCTCTCCTGCAACTTCAGCAGCCCACTCGTCCTAGCCTCCACCTTGTCTCAGCAGTCGGCAGCAGAGAGGAGGACAGCATTCCTCCGCCAGATCCTGAGCTTCTCCATACAGCCGCAGAGAGGCTTGACTGCTCGTCTGTGCAGTGCTGGGAAAAGGTCATCCAATGCCCAGGGCGAACATGCCAAAATGTGCCGCCCTCACCCCGTTTCGCGCATGGCCAATCATCTTACCCATGCCTGACAACCATACCTGATCAATTATACCTACGTATACAGTGCAGTTTCAGGTAGCACTGTGTTGGGAGCAGCCTCTCTGCGGTTACGGAGAAGCTCAAGATCTAGTGGAGGAGTTCTGTCCTTCTTTCTGCTGCCAACTGCTGAGACAAGGTGGGGGTGGAGACAAGGGGGAGGGGGGTGCTGCAGCTTCAGGAGAGGTGCGAGGGCCACATGAAATGGTCTAGCGGGTAAGATATGGCCCGCGGGCCTTGTGTTTGACAGGTGCTGTACTTTCTGCTTCCCAGCTCTGCCCCCAGCTTCCTTGTGTCAGGAGCACAAAGTAAGGAGGGGAGCACTGTGATGTAAGAGAGGGTGGGGAACTCTTGAATTCTGATGATGGGGGGGCTCTTGACATCTGATGTATGGAGGGGTCAGGGTGCTCTGGACGACTAGTCTTGCAGATACAACTGGCAAACATAATGTTGATACGGCCCACAATGAAATGGAGTTTCACACCCCTGCTCTAGAGACTCAGGCCTATTTAAATTGATATTACAATTCTATGCGGGCAAACTAATAAAAACGTAAAGCCGTGTCTTACCCTGGACGGCGTCGTGGGGAGTGCTTGTTGTAGATGCGCTCCATGCTACATCGGAGATTTCAGCTGAGCAGTGATGGCTTGTTTTAAACATTCTCTGTCCTCCTGGTCCTCGCTGCGTTCTTGTAACAGCTAAAAGAAAGTGCTCGATTAATTGAACAATTTACTCCTGTCCTTAAAGACCATGTTTTGAAATGAGTTGTAGAAATTATTATTATTATTATACAGTATTTATATAGCGCCAAAGGGTATGCTCAGCGCTGTACAGTAGCAAGGGGGACAAAACATGACAATACAGTAACAATACAATACACGAGGGGTTCGAGGGCCCTGCTCTTTCGAGCTTACAATCTAGGAGGGAGGGGAGGGTGGCACAGGAGGAGATGGCTGTGGGGGATGGAATGGTGGGTGGAATGAAGGAGGTTGGCTGTGAGGTGAGGTCGGGTGTTAGGAGAGGTTGGGGTAGGCTTCCCTGAAGAGGAGGGTTTTCAGGGTGCGCCTGAAGGTGAGGAGGGTAGGTGACATTCTGATGGATTGGGGTAGGGAGTTCCAGAGGATGGGGGAAGTCCTAGAGAAGTCCTGCAATCAGGCGTAGGAGAAGGAGACCAGGGAGCTAGAGAGCAGGAGGTCCTGTGAGGAGCGGAGGGCACAGGTAGGGTAGTATCTGGGTGTCAGGTCAGTAATGTAGTTTGGGGCGGCATTGTGAATGGCTTTGTAGGTCAGAGTTAGCAGTTTGAACTTGATGCGTTGGGCAATCGGGAGCCAGTGAAGGGATTGGCAGAGGGGGGAGGCAGATGTGGAGCAGTTGATGAGGTGGATGAGTCTGGCCTCTGAGTTTAGGATCGACTGGAGTGGGGATAGCGCTCGTTTGGGTAGGCCGGTGAGAAGGGAGTTGCAGTAGTCCAGGCGTGAGATGATGAGGGAGTGTACGAGTTGTTTGGTGGTGTCTGGGGTGAGGAATGTGCGCATCTTGGAGATGTTGCGGAGGTGGAGCCTGCAAGATCTAGATAGCAGTTGGATGTGGGGTATGAAGGAGAGGTCGGAGTCCAGGGTGACACCCAGGACTTTGGCGTGTGGGGTGGGAGAGATGGTGGTGTTGTTAGTGGTGATGGAGAGGATGGGGGGGGGGGGGGGGTCACGGGGTGGGGGAAAGACCAGGAGCTCGGTTTTGGATAGGTTAAGTTTGAGGAAGTGGAGCGACATCCAGTCTGATATGTCGTTTAGGAGGTGGGCGATGCGGGCAGAGAGTGAGCGGGGTGAGGTGGGGGGTGGGAGAGGTAGATTTGGGTGTCGTCGGCATAGAGGTGGTAATTGAAGCCGTGGGAGTGAATAAGTTTGCCAAGGGAGGAGGTATAGATGGAGAAGAGGAGGGGCCCGAGGACAGAGCCTTGGGGGACCCCGACAGAGAGGGGGAGGGAGGGGGAGGTGGCAGTGTTGTAGGTGACGCTGAAGGAGCGTTGGGAAAGGTAGGAGGAGAACCAGGAGAGGGCAGCGTCTTTGATGCCAAGGGAGTTCAGTTTGGCAAGGAGGAGAGGAGAGATCAATAAATCTAATCAATTAGGTATTTCCCCCTTTCCCTGCAATTAGAGCAACTAACAAATGATCAGCTCTCTGGTAGCCGATTGCCTCCATCTAGGTCTCTGTCTATCCCCTCTATCCCATCATCCTATAAGCATGTCTCATGGTAGGGCAGGGAATCATGGGAGCTCAAATTATTTCTGGTTCCAACTCCAGCTCAGGTATGACATCCAGAAGGAGTGCCAACTAAAATAGGGACATTCTGCACAGGTACATGACAGTTAAAAACACAGAGAACACTTTTGAAAGGTAATATTGTATTGTGTTGTGCATACAACTGACATTCAACAAAATGATTGAATACATTGCGATGTGACAGAAAGAAATTAGCACTCATAGGGCCCATGTACATGGCCAACAGGAGGTTCCCATCTCTAACTATGTGCAAACCACGGAGGATACTGTCGGACTGTCAATGATTTGTGTATAAAGAGACAAAAAGCGGGCGCATGGGCCTAGTGCATTACCTTAAAAGATGAGATTTATTGATAAAAAAGTATAATACTCACAAGAGAATTAAAATGGAAAGCAAGGGAATGCAATGTGGTCCAAAAAAAAACCCTGAAGGTGGTCTGGTGGGGGACTGTAGACCTCTGGATAGCTGGTGGCTGACACGTTTCAAGGTTATACTGAGGGATCTGAGGAAGAGGTATAACCTCAAAACGCGTCAACCATCAGCTATCCAGAGGTCCCCCACCAGACCACCTTCAGGGCTTTTTTTGGACTACATTGCATTCCCTGTGACATGCTTTCCATTTTATTTCTCTTTTATTATACTTTTTTATCAATAAATCTCATCTTTTAGGGTAATGCACTAGGCCCGTGCGCCCTCTTTTTGTCTCTTTATACACAGCTCTCTTTGGATTCCCCTGGTCCGTAGAGGGCAGCAAGGCTTGCATTCTTTTCATATACATGTGGGGATATTGAGACGGTGGAGTCCATTGTCCAGCGCAGGAGCTCAGGCATAGGGTTGTCAGTGGTGTACCCCAAGGTTCAGTGTTGGGACCCTTACTTTTTAATATATTTATAAATAATATCGGGTCTGGGATTAAAAATCCCATTTCAGTCTTTGCAAATGACACCAAGCTGTGCAGTGGAATAACGTCCTTATAGGATGTCTCCAATTTACAAGCTGACCTCAATGCACTGTTTAACCACTTCAGGTCCAGACACTTTCAGCCCCTTCCAGTCCAGGCCAATTTTCAGCTTTCAGAGCTATCACACTTTGAATGACAATTGCGCGGTCATGCAACACTGTACCCATATGAATTTTTTTAGAATTTTTTTGAGACAGATAAAGCTTTATTTTGGTGGTATTTATTCACCACTGGGAATTTTATTTTTTTTGCTATGTAAATGATAAAGTCCACAAATTTTGAAAAAAAAAAACTGTTTTTCTTAAAAATTTTGCAAATAAATAGTATTTCATCATAAATCTTGGCCAAAATGTATTCCGTTATCTTTTTAGTAAAGAAAAAAAAAATAACCCAAATTAGTTTATAACCAAAAATTATAATTTTTAAACATTTTTTTTTATTTTTTTTATTTTTTCATATTATTATTTATTTATTTGTACATACTGTCACCCTAGCAGTACAGTGTCACCATGGTGACACTATACTACTTGTGGGGGGTGATGAAGATTTTTTTTTTATACCGATTGCTTTTACACCCATAAAGGCTGTAAAAGCAATCATTTCTCCTTCTCTCTAGCTCCATTCTTTCAGCCATTGAGAACTACTGTGTGAGCTGTGATTGGTCACAGCTTGTCACATGGTACAGGGCTGTTGTGAATAGCCTTGTATCATGTGCCCACTGTGATCATTCACAGATTGCACACGTAGTAAGCAATGATGTCAGAAGTGACATCTTGCTTACTACTCTGCATGTGATCACTGATTGGCCAATCAATGATCACATGATCGGGTCCTCGCACAGAGGTCCCGTCCGATGATCGGTGTTCCACTGTGTCCAGAGGGCACCGGATTGCGGTGCTGCACGCTCCAGGGAGCGCGCACAAGCAGGGTGCGGGAAGCCATTTATAAACAGCCACCCGACCCTGCACTGCCACCGTCTGGCCGTTTATATACATGGGCCGGACGGGAGGTGGTTAATTGGGCAACTATGTGGCAAATGAGGTTTATTGTTGATAAATGTAAGATTCTGCACTTGGGGGGCTAAGAATATGCATGCATCATACATACTAGGGGGGGTACAACTGGGGGAATCAATGGTGGAGAAGAATCTGGGGGTTCTGGTAGATCACAAGCTTAATAATGGCATGCAATGCCAAGCTGCGGCTTCTAAAGCGAGCAAAATCCTCTCTTGTATTAAAAGAGGTATAGACTCCAAAGAGAGAGATATCATTTCCCCCAATAAAAAATTATTAGTAAGACCTCATCTGGAATATGCAGTTCAATTTTAGGCAATAATACACAAAAAGAACATTGGGGAACTGGAGAAAGTACAGAGAAGGGCAACCAAAACTGATAAGAGGCATGGAGGAGATCAGCTATGAGGAAAGATTAGAGGAACTGAATTTATTCTCTCTTGAGAAGAGGAGATTAAAGGGGATATGATCTCCATGTATAATAGATAAGGGGGGGATATGATCTCCATGTATAATACATGAGGGGGGATATGATCTCCATGTATAATACATGAGGGGGGATATGATCTCCATGTATAATACATAAGGGGGGATATGATCTCCATGTATAATACATAAGGGGGATATGATCTCCATGTATAATACATAAGGGGGGGATATGATCTCCATGTATAATACATAAGGGGGATATGATTTCCATGTATAATACATAAGGGGGGATATGATCCCCATGTATAATACATAAGGGGAGATATGATCTCCATGTATAATACATAAGGGGGGATATGATCTCCATGTATAATACATAAGGGGGGATATGATCTCCATGTAGAATACATAAGGGGGGATATGATCACCATGTATAATACATAAGGGGGGATATGATCTCCATGTATAATACATAAGGGGGGATATGATCTCCATGTATAATACATAAGGGGGGATATGATCTCCACGTATAATACATAAGGGGGGGATATGATCTCCACGTATAATACATAAGGCCGGATATGATCTCCATGTATAATACATAAGGCGGGGGATATGATCTCCATGTATAATACATAAGGGGGGATATGATCTCCATGTATAATACATAAGGCCGGATATGATCTCCATGTATAATACATAAGGGGGGATATGATCTCCATGTATAATACATAAGGGGGGATATGATCTCCATGTATAATACATAAGGGGGGATATGATCTCCATGTATAATACATAAGGGGGGATATGATCTCCAGGTATAATACATAAGGGGGGATATGATCACCATGTATAATACATAAGGGGGGATATGATCTCCATGTATAATACATAAGGAGGGATATGATCTCCATGTATAATACATAAGGGGGATATGATCTCCATGTATAATGCATAAGGGGGGATATGATCTCCATGTATAATACATAAGGGGGGATATGATCTCCATGTATAATACATAAGGGGGGATATGATCTCCATGTATAATACATAAGGGGGGATATGATCTCCATGTATAATACATAAGGGGGGATATGATCTCCATGTATAATACATAAGGGGGATATGATCTCCATGTATAATACATAAGGGGGGATATGATCTCCATGTATAATACATAAGGGGGGATATGATCTCCATGTATAATACATAAGGGGGGGATATGATCTCCATGTATAATACATAAGGGGGGATATGATCTCCATGTATAATACATAAGGGGGGATAGTGATCTCCATGTATAATACATAAGGGGGGATGATCTCCATGTATAATACATAAGGGGGGATATGATCTCCATGTATAATACATAAGGGGGATATGATCTCCATGTATAATACATAAGGGGGGATATGATCACCATGTATAATACATAAGGGGGGATATGATCTCCATGTATAATACATAAGGGGGATATGATCTCCATGTATAATACATAAGGGGGGATATGATCTCCATGTATAATACATAAGGGGGGATATGATCTCCATGTATAATACATAAGGGGGGATATGATCTCCATGTATAATACATAAGGGGGGATATGATCTCCATGTATAATACATAAGGGGGGATATGATCTCCATGTATAATACATAAGGGGGGGATATGATCTCCATGTATAATACATAAGGGGGGATATGATCTCCATGTATAATACATAAGGGGGGATATGATCTCCATGTATAATACATAAGGGGGGATATGATCTCCATGTATAATACATAAGGGGGGATATGATCTCCATGTATAATACATAAGGGGGGATATGATCTCCATCTATAATACATAAGGGGGGATATGATCTCCATGTATAATACATAAGGGGGATATGATCTCCATGTATAATACATAAGGGGGATATGATCTCCATGTATAATACATAAGGGGGGATATGATCTCCATGTATAATACATAAGGGGGGATATGATCTCCATGTATAATACATAAGGGGGGATATGATCTCCATGTATAACACATAAGGGGGGATATGATCTCCAGGTATAATACATAAGGGGGGATATGATCTCCATGTATAATACATAAGGGGGGATATGATCTCCATGTATAATACATAAGGGGGATATGATCTCCATGTATAAAACATAAGGGGGATATGATCTCCATGTATAATACATAAGGGGGGATATGATCTCCATGTATAATATATAAGGGGGGATATGATCTCCATGTATAATACATAAGGGGGGATATGATCTCCATGTATAATACATAAGGGGGGATATGATCTCCATGTATAATACATAGGGGGGATATGATCTCCATGTATAATACATAAGGGGGGGATATGATCTCCATGTATAATACATAAGGGGGGATATGATCTCCATGTATAATACATAAGGGGGGATATGATCACCATGTATAATACATAAGGGGGGATATGATCTCCATGTATAATACATAAGGGGGATATGATCTCCATGTATAATACATAAGGGGGGATATGATCTCCATGTATAATACATAAGGGGGGATATGATCTCCATGTATAATACATAAGGGGGGATATGATCTCCATGTATAATACATAAGGGGGGATATGATCTCCATGTATAATACATAAGGGGGGATATGATCTCCATGTATAATACATAAGGGCCGGATATGATCTCCATGTATAATACATAAGGGGGGATATGATCTCCATGTATAATACATAAGGGGGGATATGATCTCCATGTATAATACATAAGGGGGGATATGATCTCCATGTATAATACATAAGGGGGATATGATCTCCATGTATAATACATAAGGGGGGATATGATCTCCATGTATAATACATAAGGGGGATATGATCTCCATGTATAATACATAAGGGGGGGATATAATCTCCATGTATAATACATAAGGGGGATATGATCTCCATGTATAATACATAAGGGGGGATATGATCTCCATGTATAATACATAAGGGGGGATATGATCTCCATGTATAATACATAAGGGGGGATATGATCTCCATGTATAAACACATCAGTGGTTCATATAGTGATCTCGGTGTGTAGAGTTATTCCCCCTGAGGTCATCACAGAGGACAAGGGGGGGGCTCTTTACGTCTGGAGGAAAATAAATTTAATCTCCAAACACAGAAAGGTTTCTTGGAGAGTTGGTTCTGGCCAGTTCAGTGGATTGTTTTAAAAAAGGTCCTGGATTCTTTCTTGGATACACAGAATATAAGTGGTTACTATTTATAGGTAAAGTTGATCCAGAGAATATCCGATTGCCTCTCGGGGGATCAGAAAGTAATTTTTTTCCCTGCAATAGAAAATTGGATCGTGCTTTTCTGGATTTTTTGCTTTCCTCTGAATCAACTGCGGGTGTAGGATTATAAATTTTTTTTTTTTTTATGGTTAAACTTTATGGACTTTTGTCTTTTGTCTTTTTTCAGCCAGACTAACTATGTAACTATGTAATTCCCTGCTGAAAAAACGCTCAAGCTCCATACAGGGTCAGTAGGGTGTACATCTTGAAGTTTGCTGTATGTAACTTCCCTTCTAACAAATTACATTTACACTTACAAGGCAGATTTTATTGTGTTTGGTAGCGGTGATAAACCTTTTGAGAGGCAGCAATATGCCTTGAATGGTAGTTCCAACATTACCAAATATTCAACAGAAGACTTACCTCCAACAATTCAAAATAGTGCAAACAGTGGTAAACAGGAACCAGCATGAGACGAGGGAGGATGTACCTCACTGCTTCTTTAAAGCCGTCGGATATAGACTGAGGGTAGAAGACACCAATTAGAGAACATGACCTTCTGCGGTTTAGAAGCTCCAACAAGCAAGACCTACGCACAATGTTGATATATTTACTACGCGGCCTATTGACACAAAGATTAGGGCCCATTCATACTAGGAGCTGCATATGGATCTCACAGGAAGGCTGTGCAGTTCCTGTGCAATTTACATGCAGTTCTGCGCAGTGCAATTTCATTCATTTTGAACAGGCTGAAATTGCACTGCACCAAAAGAAGTGCATGCACTAATTTTGGAAAAGCGCTGCAATCGGATCGCGTGGTACCTTTGTATGATACGATCCGGTGTAGGAAAAAAAAAACTGCATTTGCAACCTGCATTTGGGGTGTCGTTAACTTTGCACTGACACCCACTGCAGATCTCAAGGGCAGTGCGATTTGAATGTGGTGCGGGAAACTATCACACAAGGTGGATTTCCCACACTGCATTCTAGTGTGAACGGGCCCTTAAAGAAACATTGCCACCTTGCCCATGCTGGAAAAAGCAACAAAAGCCCCCCCCCCCGGATAATACTATACTCATCATAGTAACAGTGTTTCTGAAAAGTCGCCCCCCTGAGAACACTGTACTCATTATACCTGCACTCCCTCACAGCTTACAGTAAAATCGACTAAGCTGGTAACCTGCAGGAGCAGTCATGGCACTCCTCCGGTCTTGGGACAGTACAGGGTCCAGGGACTGGCAGCTAGGCATGGTAACATCATGGGAAGCAGGTCACATACTGGGTATTCTTCACAGCTGCAGAGGAGCAAGCCGCTATGAGAGAGCGCAGGTAAGGGGGTCAGGGGACACCCTTTGCAGAAATATTGTCACTCTGCCCTGCATGGGTAAGGAGACAGTGGGAAAGTCTTACCAAAACTGGTGCACACAGAATCTGGTGCAGCTGTGCATATTAACCAACCGGCTTCCAGGTTTTAGTCCTCATGAACACCGGACGTTTTTACAGCGGCTGTTTTTGGCACTTTTTTTTTTCTAAGCCAGTATGTTATCCTTTGTGTCCATGCACACACAGGCTGTAATCAGTGTTTTTTGGCAGGGGTGTTTTCTGGCTGGAAAAAGAACCCCAGAGCTAGTGGGTTTCTAGAGGAGGTTTTTTTTTAGCTGTAAAAAACATTCTAACGCTGAAAAACGCAGTAAAATAAGGCAAACCGACATTTTTGGACTTTTGTTTGAACAAAAAAAATGTGTGGGGGGTAAAAAAATATGCTAAACAACGCTAAATACCGCAAACGCAGAAAATTGCTAATGCAAAAACGCTGAAAAACTTGCGTTTTTACGTGACTTTACACAGCTCACGTTACCAGCGTTATTAAAATGCCCAGTGTGCATGGAGATTTATTGTTAAGCTGAAGTTAGAAGCTGACTGCTCCAGTTTTAGTAAAATCTCCCCCAGTGTCTGTTTAAAGCGGAGCTCCACCCAAAAGGGGAAGTTCCGTTTTAAGTCTTTGTCCCCCGCTCCCCATTAAGGATTGGCACCTTTGGGCAGCCGGTACCCGAATTTGACAGGTGCCCACTCCCACTTCCGCTGCAATCGCCTGGGCAATCAGAAGTGGAAGTTGTCCTCCCCCCCCCCCCCTCCCCGTAGTCTTCTGGGACACGTGACAGGTCCCAGAGGACTACGTGGCCATTCACAAAGTTCCTGCGCTTCTTGCGCATGCGCAGTGGGCACCCGGCTGTAAAGCCGCAAGCTGTCACAGCCGGGTGCCCACACTGAAGATGCCGGCACCAGGGAGAGAAGATGGCCGGTGAAACCAGCGGTGGTGAGGACACCGCTGGACCGAGGGACAGGTAAGTGGCTGTATTTTAAAAATCAGCAGCTACAGTTTTTGTAGCTGCTGACTTTTTTTTTTTTTTAAGGTGGAACTCCGCTTTAAGCTCTTAGTGAGTAAATTGTGCAAGTAAGAGGAACTCTGACATATTGTCTGTGTTGTCCATCTTATTCAATCAACTATCCCTACTGTTTCAGCAAATTCAGGTGAGAATGTCGCATGCTATGAATTTCATACTTAAAGGGTATGTATACCCTAACAATACGCTTTTTTTATTTCCTCAATTTTGGTGTCTGTTAAAAATACCATAGTACAGATTTTATCATATTTATTTAAAAAAACACACAAAAAAAAACACCGGTTGATCTTGCCAGAAATCTCGTAACCCCACAAGTTCCTGGGCTCTCAGCTTGTGCTGCTCTCTTAATTTTTACATTGTTCCCAACTATACTGGGAACTACTGAACTCCTCCTATATAGGTTACGGAGAAAAGGTGAGAGGGAGGTTATTTTAATGTCTGTGGGCTATGATGCCAATTCTCCAAAGATACAGTATAGTCAGTGAATGGTTCCTAGGGCAGGAAGTGTGTTAAATGTAAAATCACCAGCTGAAAAGAAAGAAAAAGACTAAAAAAGAAAACTAATGCAGCCACCTTATATAGGGACTGGTAAGTTTCATTATATTACATTTTTGTTCTTGGGTTTAGATACATTTTACATAAATGGACAGATGCATACAGTGCTTCACCTCTAATGGTAGATGAAGCATTCTCAGAGTCATCGACACAATGTACAAAATCCTCACCTGAAAATGCAGGGGAACATTAGGTTTAGTCATGAGGTTATTGAAATGCTCCTGGAACTGGGTGGCAAGGATGTCCTGGGATAAGGTTTCATACGGGTCGAAGGCTTGCTCCTAAGGGTGCAATACAGGAAGTTTTGTTATTTTCCCATCTAAGGTCGTTTTGTACCATGCGATCTGGTGCAGGCAAATGCATTGTGTTTGCAACCTGCATATGGGGTGTTGTTAACTTTGTATTGAAACCAGCAGCAGATTGCAAACACAGTGCGACTTCAATACATAAGCATTACACTGCAACGCGCAGGTGCAAACCCAGCCTATGACGCCGGCCATATAATTGCTTAACAGTTCGGTTAAGAGCACAAGCAACTGTAACAGCTGTTATTCACGGCATGCCTTGAATTTTACGGTCTTGGAAAACAATTACATTTAGCTCCAATTTCAGATGGCTGTTTGGCAGTCTTCTTGTTGATTTCATGGTGTTGACTACGTTGTCTTTTCCAAGGGTTTAGGTCTTATTTGCCCACCTGCGCATAAGCTGCCTGATTATTGCATTCTCTCTTGCCTCATAAATATTTTCCATGTTCTGCACTATTTATGTTTAACAAAGCTTGATCAGCTATTGAAATGAATAAACGGTGTTGCTACGTCTGGAGGCATTTGTTCTATAATACATCGGTTCTGGATGCACAGCTGTCCCAAAGAGATGACACTTACCTCCTGTTCTAAGACGACAATAGTGCAATTGACTCTACTTATCACATTTCCTAAATTGTATTCCTAATTAGGGTGAAACAAACTCTTCCAGACTTCAGCAAATAACTTGGGAAGACCTTTTATTAGGGAGGGGTGGAAAGCTTCCCCATGAAGTCATTTTCCTCGGGCTAGATATTATGTCAGGCTATTGCGACTCTGACATAAAACCATTGTTGGAATTTAGGCATGTGTACCCAACTATTTTTATGCTGTATAATTAACAACTTAAGTGTCCTTTTATCATGCGGCGGTAAATGACCGCTGCTCAGTTCTCCGGCATTCTCAGAGGAGACAGTTCTCCTCTGAATGCCTTTTCAGTTATGAAGCGGTTTGTAGATCAGTTCTCTGAATGAGGAGAGAAGTGATCTACAAACACTTTGAACACTAGAAAACGGCTGCTGTTACTATAATCTTGCGAGATTCCAGTAAGAGATCAGTCAAGCACCGCTTACAAAACAGGGATAAATTATCGCGGCTTCGTTTGCGGTTCCCCCCCGATTCTCGACCTCTGAGCTGGAGAATCTGGAGGGAGAACACAGATCGCCAGTGAAGGGCTGACATCGCTCCTTCATACACTGGCCGTCTGTGTGCTGAGATGATCAGCGGAGGAGAATGTGTTCTCCATTGATCATCTCAGTTTCCTAAACCACTAATGATCTGAGATCAGCAACGATCCTTAGGATCGCCGCTGATCTCAGTTTCATAAAAGGACACCATAATGTCTTTCAGTGATTAGATACATTTCCACATTTGTTCACTGTCTGAACTGAATTGAGGAAGCTGCCCCTCAAAAAAATAAAAATAAATAAATAAATAGAAGAGAGAGAGAAGTGATCTACAAACGCTTTGAACGCTAGAAAAACGGCTGCTGTTACTATAATCTCACGAGATTACAGTAAGAGATCAGTCAAACACAGTTTACTAAGCAGGGGTAAATTATCGCTGCTTCGTTTGCGGTTCCTCCCGATTCTCCAGCTCTGGGCTGGAGAATCTGGAGGGAGAACACAGATCGCCAGTGAAGGGCTGACATCGCTCCTTCATACACTGGCAGTCTGTGTGCTGAGATGTGTTCTCCGCTGATCATCTCTGCTTCCTAAACCACTAATGATCTGAGATCAGCAACTATCCTTAGGATCGCTGCTGATCTCAGTTTCATAAAAGGACACCATAATGTGTTTCAGTGACTAGATACATTTCCACATTTGTTCACTGTCTAAAATGAATTGAGGAAGCTGCCCCTCAAAAAAATAAAAAAAAATAAATAAATAGAAGAGAGAAGCGATCTACAAACGCTTTGAACACTAGAAAACGGCTACTGTTACTATAATCTCGCGAGAATACAGTAAGAGATCAGTCAAACACAGTTTACTAAACAGCGGTAAAATACTGCTGCTTCATTTGAGGTTCCCCCGATTCTCCACCTCTGGGCTGGAGAATCTGGAGGGAGAACACAGATCGTCAGTGAACGGCTGACATCGCTCCTTCATACACTGGCCGTCTGTGTGCTGAGATGATCAGCAGAGGAGAATGTGTTCTCCATTGATCATCTCAGTTTCCTAAACCACTAATGATCTGAGATCAGCAACGATCCTTAGGATCGCCGCTGATCTCAGTTTCATAAAAGGGCACCCTAATGTCTTTCAGTGATTAGATACATTTCCACATTTGTTCACTGACTGAACTGAATTGAGGAAGCTGCCCCTCAAAAAAATAAAAATAAATAAAAAAAAAATAAATAAAAAAAAAAAAAAAAAATCAGGCAGAAGGCAAAGGACTATTCCCCAGTGTTGCCTTTAGCTGAACTTTCCTCATTACGAACTTCTGTAAAGCGGTAGTAAAGTCTTTCTTTTGAACTTGTACCTACAGGTAAGCCTATAATATGGCTTACCTATAGGTACAGTGACTATATCCTAAACATTAAGAGATATTCACACTGGATGCAGCTGATGACATCACCAGCGCCACGCGCTCTGAAGTGGCGCGGAATACCCGTGCGTCCCTTAAGAGCTCTGTACCATAAAGTGATATCATCGTGGTTCAGCCATACAAAGGACCTAGGCCAGGGGAAGATGGAAGCACTGTCAGAGGTGATAGCACACCACTGGGGGGCTTCGTTCTAAGGTAAGTATTTCATAATGTCCTAGTAGGTGATGCATACTAGTACATTATTCCATTGCCTTGCAGGACATTTTTTTTTTTAATTGCCTATGTTTACTACCACTTTACTCCTGAATTCTTAAAGCTGGCCATAGATGAATCAAATTTCAATCCATCTAGGACCGTTCCTATTCCAGAAGAGTCAATATAACAAATCGACTCCTCCCGAACGGGACTGTTGGTAAATTTTCATTCAATCAGCGCTTGACACCAATCACCTGCAGTGCTAATCAGTGCATTCTGACAGAGGAGTGCCGCTCTCAGAACACAATAGCGCAGTGGGGGGGGGGGAATTCTCTCATTGATCTCGCTTGTGTGGATGGGATGATTCCATTACGTTTTTTTTGACCAGTCCACAGGCTGATCAAAGAAAAAAAAAAAAACTGATCAATGTATGACCGGCTTTAATCTTTGCTGTGTTTTCTTGAGATGGCTATGTTGGTAGAGACGAGGCTTTGCTTCCTCATGTCAGAGCCTCCAGCAAAGAGAACAGTAAGCAGCACAGAAGTGACATCTCTATATATCACTTTATATCTCCAGAGACTAGAAGTAAAACACACACATAAAATCCATAAGGTTGTAGGCAACAGGAATTGCCCAGGCACCCTTGCATACCAGGAAGTTCACTTATTTTTTTTTAGGAATTCCAGACAAAAAAAAGGTACATATTTCAGGGTACTGATTAGGCGCAATAAACATTTCTAAATGTTCCCTATAGCCTAGCAAATATTCACTTTTTGAGTTCAGGTCTACTTTAGAACGTATGGTCTGTACCTCAGCTAAGTCTTCAAAACAGCTTCCGACAAGAGGATGTGGGCTGCTCTCATCTGTCATCTCCACCACAGTATCTTCAATCAAACCCAGGAGCTTCACTGTAAGTTCATGGATGTCCAGGATATTACTGAAGATTATCTCGATTTCCTGTAAGATGATATATGGAGTGCATTACATGTTAAAACACATAAAATCATTTCATTAAATTGTATGGGGAGATTAGAGCCGTATATTTTCATTGCAATCTGTGTCCCGTCTATGTAGATTAGCCCCTCTAATTGTCCATGTGATCACTGTCACAGCCAGGAAGTGACGGGAAATTCAACATTTTGCAGCTGTCATCAGAACAGGAGGTTAGTGGAAATCTTTCAGGGGAAGGGGGACAGGTTACAAGTGTTCTGGTGACCTTGGTCTAAGAATGGAATTCCCCTTGCTTTTCAGAGATTTCCTCTCACTTCTTGTTGCATTTGTGGGACACCGCAAAAAAATTAAATGACAGTGGTTTTAACCCTTCAATACTCCATCAAAAACTAGGAGAAACAGTTTTGGCTATAAATGCACTTTAACCTCCCTGGCGGTATTCCCGAGTGTAGCTCGGGGTAGAGTTTCTGTAACAAAAGTGGTAACCCCCCCCCCCCCCCGAGCTACACTCGGGCTTACCATGCGGCGCTGCATAGGGAGTCCCTGCAGAGCTTACCTTGTCCTTCGCTCCTGCGATGTGTCCCCTGCAGCGTCCCCGGCCATCTCCTCCACCCGATGCCGGCATCCGGCTTCTGTGTTCCGGTCCCTGTGACGTCGGGACGTACGGGTGCCGGCGGGATATTTGAAAATTTTAAAAAATGTCATTTTTTTCCAAACAAATTTTACATAGCAAAACATTGCTGTTTCAACCCATTTCACATACATTGTGTCCCGAGTGCTTTGTCCGGCGCCCTGCCTGCATTTTGTCTGTTCTTTCTGCCTGGAACCTGAGAAAAGTCCATGGCGTCCAAAAAAGCGTCCCTTTAGGTAAAAAAGCGGTTTTAGACCGGCTAGAGAACAGCGATAGTAAATCAGAACCACTTGCAGAATTGAGTGATAATGATTCGTGGGGGAAATTTCTCATCAGACACTGAAAACGATTCTGCGACTTTGCTCAGCAATGTGCGAACTTGGCGCTCTATTTCACATTTCAGTGTTTTTGGTTTGATTATATTATTGAATTCAATTTATTATTATTATATTATTATTTTTTATGATTATTTATTAAATTATAATTTATGATTTCATGTTTCAAATTTTATCATCCCCGGGATGTTTACTAGACTCTTGTTCGGACAGATTTCAGTGAGTTATTCCTAAAAATTACAGGCCTACAATAAAAAAAAATACATATTTCCATGCAAAATAATGGTACCGCTTTCAGCACCAAAAATCTGAAATAATCATACCGCCAGGGAGGTTAAAAGGCCACAGGAAATACCTCTACTCTCAAACAGCTGTATAAGAAGGTATCCATTTTAAGGCCTCATACAAATTGGACATTTTGCAAACTCTCCTAGAAGCCTCAGCTTGTGACACATCTCTGTATTGGCACAAAAACTGCTGGATGCATGTAAAAATGTGTAATGCGTTTAGATGCGCTAAAATTTGGGTGTTAATTGCATTGGCCAGAATATTAATTTATTCTGGCCACTGAAATGAATTAACGATCAAGCGCTCAACATGCTTAGCATTAATGAACATTTACAGGCGTCTAGCAGTTTTATTGCCAAAAACACCGCTGTTCCTAGATGTGCTGCCAGTGGGGTTTTTTCTGCCTCTAAACTCCTATAAAAGCCTATGTGTGCATGGACATATATTCCTAGATTGTAAGCTCTAACGAGCCAGGCCCTCTGTTTCATCTTGTACCAAATTGTATTGTAACTGTAATGTCTGCCTTCATTTTGTAAAGCGCTGAGCAAACTGTTGGCGCTATATAAATCCTGTATAATAATAATAGGCGTACATTTTACAAAATAAAATGTGTGGTGCTACCTGTCTAGACAACATATTATTATTATTATACAGTATTTATATAGTGCCAAAAAAGTTTGCTCAGCACTGTACATTATAGTGGGGGACAGAACATGAGACAATACAGTAACAATACAAAACACGAGGGGTTATAGGGCCCTGCTCCTTGGAGCTTACAATCTAGGAGGGAGGGGGTAGTGGTACAGGAGGAAGTGGCTGTGGGGGATGGAATGGTAGGAGGAGTGGAGGAGATCGGCTGTTAGGTGAGGCGGGGTAGGCTTCCCTGAAGAGATGGGTTTTCAGGGTGCGCCTAAAGGTGAGGAGGGTAGGTGACAGTCTGATGGATTGGGGTAGTGAGTTCCAGAGGATTGGGGAAGACCTGGAGAAGTCCTGGAGTCGGGCATGGGAGGAGGAGACCAGGGAACTAGAAAGTAGGAGGTCTTGTGAGGAGCGAAGATTACGGGTTGGGTGGTATTTGGATATTAGGTCGGTGATGTAGTTTGGGGCAGTGTTATGAATGGCTTTGTATGTCAATGTTAGTAGTTTGAATTTTATGCGTTGGGCAATCGGAAGCCAATGGAGGGAATGACAGAGGGGGGTGGAGCCAGTGGAGGGAATGACAGAGGGGGGTGGAGCCAGTGGAGGGAATGACAGAGGAGGGTGGCGGATACGGTGCGGTTGGTAAGGTGGATGAGTCTGGCCGCTGAGTTCAGGATAGACTGAAGCGGGGATAGTCTGTGATGAGGTAGGCCGGTGAGGAGGGAGTTACAGTAGTCGAGTCGTGAGATAATAAGGGAGTGAATGAGTTGTTTAGTAGTGTCCGGGGTTAGGAACGAACGTGTTTTGGAGATGTTGCATAGGTGGAGCCTGCATGAGTTTGCCAGCGATTGGACACGGGGTTGGAAGGAACGTGTTTTGGAGATGCTTGAGAGGTGGAGCCTGCATGAGTTTGCCAGTGATTGGACACGGGGTTGGATGTTTTGAGAGCTTGAGAGGTGGAGCCTGCATGAGTTTGCCAGTGATTGGACATGGAGCTGGAAGGATAGGTTGGAGTCTAGAGTGACACCTAGGACTTTGGCTTGCAGGGTGGGACTGATGGTGGTGTTGTTGGTCGTGATGGAGAGGTTAGGGGGGAAGAGGGGCACTGGCTGGGGGGAAAACTAGGAGCTCAGTTTTGGAAAGGTTAAAAATGAGGAAGTGGAGTGACATCCAGTCTGATACGTAAATATAAATGTCCGTAACCAAAAAAAAGTTGAACAAAAGCAAACGACCAGTGAATGCTGTCCGTGATAAAGAGAAAATCTGTGATAAAGTCGCTTAAATAGTAATGGAGCTGCTGAACCATAAAATAAATGCATCACCTGTCTGGCCATGTAATGTGCTGTATGACAGTAAGGATAGGTCTTTAAAATGTTTCAGGTATAAATCTTTTTAGAAAATTACAGACAATCATTTATCAGACAGGAAGTGGGGGGAATTCTCAAACAACAACACAAACAGAAATTAAACTGCTTTTAGGCCCCTTTCACACAGGCAAACTGATCGGGTCCACCTGTCTGTTTTTCATGCAGGCCCGATCAGACCATCCATTGTTCTCTATGGGGAGGCAGATGAAATGGACCCACCCACCTGCATCCGATCTGCTAAAAACAGACAGATGGGGGATCCATTCCTCATCTGCCTAGAGCAGCCTTTCTCAATCAGGGTGCCTTGAGGTTTCTTTAGAGGTGCCTTGGCAAAATGTCTAAAAATTGCCCAAAATTTGTATACAAGCCAGCGATGGAACAAGCCTGCCATTTAGTTACACAAAGCCACAGGTTTTCATTGTGCAGCATTATGACCTTCTAGTGTCGGCGTCCTGACATCTAATGACATCATCATTTGATAAGAAGGATGTTAGCTGCCTGCACAGCATCCTAGTTTGACCCTCCCTTGCCCTTCTCCATCAGTGCTGGGGTCGCATAGTTTTTCACATTTTAGAATGAGGTGCTTTTTTAAAATTATGGACAGTCTGGAGGCACCCCATTTTAGAATGGGGTGCTTCCAGACTGTCCATAATTTTAAAGGGTGCCTCCAGACTGTCCATAATTTTAAAGGGTGCCTTGATTGAAAAAACATTGAGAAACACTGGCCTAGAGAGGATGACAGGTGGTCCGTTTACATCTGACCGTCCCATAGAGAACAGTGGGCTGTGTCCCTGTCTGCTCTGCACAGGGGGAGCAGACACGGACCTGTCATCTGTCTGCTTAGTGGGGGATCAACAGACAGATCCGCTGATGAGCGGGTGGAGTTCGCCCATGTAAGAGGCCTTATTTAGCAGAATAGGAAAAGGCAAAATTCCCAAGCAGATATTTATACCTATAAGCAGGGTGGATTTGATTTAAAGCAAACTAATTTAATTTAAATCCCTAGTCAGTAAGGCTTGATGTAAATCCTAGTTTTCTACATAAAGACTAATTCTTGCTGGTATAACTTTAATATGCAAGTAGATGAAGATTTTTAGAATAACAACTTTTCTTATTAGTTTTTTTTATCCCCAGTTTAATAGGTTAATCATTCATATTTGGACAACTTTTCTGTTGTACTTAGGAAGGAGAAAAATAATCATTACCTTAATAATAACAATTTAAATAGATTTATTCATCTGAAACAATAACATTCCAGCATATGTGATTTGCTTAAACATCCATGTTTGTAAACTAATTTGGTAAACAAAATCTATATATTGAAGAAACTTAGACTGTCAGCCCCTCCCCCTCACACTAGTTTCACTTTCTTCTTGTGCAGATCTATTCCACTCCAAACAATCAGAAAAATATTGTTTCTATTCTATTCACTGAACTTCTTGAAACTTAGCACTGAAGGGGTTGATTCTGTATTCATAGGTTTGTAGAAGTTAGGATGAAGGTCTTTTTCTTAACTCTGTTTCATGTTATAACATTTTTGCTGTGAAGAAGAGGCATGTGATCTCCGCTGAGTCAGATTCAGTTTTGAGAACTGCAAAAGTAAACGGAGCATCTGTGATAATATCTTGTAGGCAGAGAAACTGCCCAATAATCTTACAAAAACCTCTGGAAGAGCATGACATTGTGAATGGATTCATGGAATTTATTTACCAAAAAATTAAACATATACAGCCTTATTCTACATAATTAAAAAAACAAATCTTTATTTCATGATGGAATAACCTTTGGATGGTAATATATTTTCCTCAAAATGTATTTTATTTTATTTAAAAAAAATTTAAATCTGATTTAAATTAAAAAAAATCAGATTTTTTTTGATTTTTAAAAAAAAAATCATTGATTTTTATCCACCCTGCCCATAAGTGTCCCTGTTGCAGATTTTCCGCTACTTCCTGTCTGGTGAAACCATTGTCAGAAAGACAGAAAGTGAGAGTAACAGTTGTAAAAAAAACAAAAACAAAAAAAAAAACCAAAAGGAGTCCTAATCATTCCTTATCTCTGTCAAACGCCCTGTGAAGATTAATTTGCACACTAAAAAAATATAAGGGAGAAAAAGGACTGGAGGCCTTAAAATCATACAAAGTTTTGTAAGGACCCATTTTTGCATACTGCGCTGATGCATTTCCAAGATTTCCCACTGTGGTCAGTAGGAAAGGACCCACTAATAAGGAAGGCAGCACAGAAGGTAAAAACAAATGACTTACAGTAGATGTAAACAGCTTTTTGTTTGCGAGGAAAGCTTCCCGAAAGACTTTGATGATGAGGTTCAGTTCTCGCAGATACTGCCTCTCTCCAGCTATTTCATTCCGCACCAGCTCATAGTAGTTCAGCTCTCCTGTGGAGGAAGGCTCCTCATCACATAATGCAACAAGGCCAATGTCATCGTCCTGGTCAAACATATCCATCAAGACCTGATGGGGAGTATAAAAAAAATAGGTTTCTTACCAAACAACAGAAAAAAAAAAAGTTTGAGTTAAAATGATGATATACCTGGAATGTGTTTAGCAGATTTATTCCTTGTTCACACCATACGTGCAGAAAAACAGGTGGAAAATGATGCGCAAATTTCACCTGCAGAGGCATCAGTTTGCATCAGTTTTCATGCGTGTCTCAATGAGTTTTATACATGTTACAGAATCTTGCACAGAAAAAAAATGTGCACATGATACTAGTGTTGTGGTGTGAACAGGACACATAGAGAACAATTGATTTTGTTGTGGCCTTGCAGAACACGTGCAGAAAAATTGAAGTCTGAACGAGCCCTTACCCTAGGTTCACATCTGTGCGGGTGGTGCCGCTGCGGATCCGCATGAAAATCTGTGCAGCCGCACCACCTGCACAAAGAACTGCGGACCCGCGGGCGGCTGCCATTAGTTCTAATGGCATGCCGCCCGCACTGGAAAACACAACCGTACTGGGAACCGAGGTTCCCGTGCGGGCTGCGTCTTCCAAAGAAGTGCAGGGACTTCTTCCCTGTGTGTCAAGGGCATAGGAGTCCATTCAAATGAATGGGCTCTCATGCCCGTGAAAAACGTGGCCCCATAGCTGTGAACCGGAGGTTAAACTGAGCTTTATAGACTATTCCATATAAAACCTTTTTCTTATTTCGGATAGCGTAGGGAAGGGGTATGTCCTCTGTCAGGCTTTTATTGCAGTCCTCAACCCTAGTCAAGAGATTTCCCCTCACTTCCTGTAAGGAGGGGGAATGATGGTAAATCTCTCCAACTGGGACACAGACCAATGCTAAAACACATTGTACCTAAGAGCTCCTGGCAATGTTTTATAGCTGCTGGTACCTTGCAGTCCTAGTGACACCAACCCCCCCCAACACATTTCAGGGGTTCAAAATTGCTGCCATCATCAGGACTTGATCTATAACCAGAATATCCAGAGATAGATTTCTAATGGTGGGGGACACTCTGACTGTAGAGGAAACATAATGATTGTGCCATGTACAACTAAGCAGGCACAGTAAGTGGTTATATACAGTATATGTGTGTACATGTGTGTATATATACAGTATCTCCCAGAAGCGAGTCCACTCCTCACATTCCAGGTGCCTCAAAGCAAAAGGTGTGCAAATTGTTGAGTTCATTAAGGGCCAGTTCACTGCAGAACGCGGTGCGGGAAACCACGTTCCGTGTGCATTCCCTGCACCGTGTTTAAAACCCTCTGCAGTTGCAATCTGCAGTGTGTCAATATAAAGTTGATGACACCCCAAACACAGATTGAATGTGCAGTGCGTTTGCCTGCACTGGATCATATGGTACAAATGTACCTAGCAATGTGGTTGCAGTGCGTTTGTAAAAGTAGTGCATGCACTAGTTTTGCTGCAGTGCTGTGCGATTTTTAGGCCATTCAGTATGAATGGGCTGAAATTGCACTGCACAGACCTGCATGTGAATCGCACAGGATGGCCCTCACACCAGATACGGTGGGACTGCATTGGGTGGCCATTCCAGTACCACCACAAAATACCTTGTCTCCTTATCTGCTTGGTTCACACCACTATGTTGCGTGCTGTGAGCAGAAATAATTTACTAGATAAGAACAATAGGAAATCAAGCGAGCGCTTACGATAGCAGCTATTGCACCAAAAAGGAACCACAAACCTTTCCAAATAAATAATGTAAATGTAATGTAAATACAGTTGCAAGAAAAAGTATGTGAACCCCTTGGGATTACGTGGAGTTTTGCATGAATTGGGCATAAAATGTGCTCTGAACGTCATCTAAGTCACAACAATAGAAGAACACAGTCTGCTGAACATAATACTACACAAACATTAGATGTTGCCATGGTTTAATTGCACATAACATGTAAACATTCACAGTGCAGGGAGGAAAAAGTATGTGAACCTTTGGACTTAATATCTGGTTGACCCTCCTTTGGCAGCAATAACCTCAACCAAACGTTTCCTGTAGTTGCAGATCAGACCTGCACAACGATCTGGAGTCATTTTGGACCACTCCTCTTCACAAAACTGTTTCAGTGTAGCAATATTCTTGGGATGTCTGGTGTGAATCGCTCTCTTAAGGTCATGCCACAGCATTTCAATCGGATTGAGGTCAGGACTCTGACTGGGCCACTCCAGAAGGCGTATTCTGTGCTGTTGCAGCCATTGTTTTGTTGAATTACTTGTATGCTTTGGGTCATTGTCCTGTTGCATCACCCCATCCTCTGCGGAGCTTCAGTTGGCGGACAGATGGTCCTATGTTTTCCAGCAAAATGTCTTGATAAACTCTGGAATTCATTTTCCCATCAATGACAACAATCCGTCCAGGCCCTGAGGCAGCAAAGCAGCCCCAAACCATGATGCTCCCTCCGCCATGTTTTACAGTGGGGATGAGGTTTTGATGTTGGTGTGCTGTGCCTTTTTTTTTTCTCCACACATAGTGTTGTGTGTTCTTCCCAAACAACTCAATCTCGGTTTCATCTGTCCACAGTATATTTTGCCAGTAGTGCTGTGGAACATCCAGGTGCTCTTTTGCAAACATCAAACGTGCTGCAATATTCTTTTTGGACAGCAATGGCTTCCTCCGTGGTGTCCTCCCATGTACTCCATTCTTGTTTAATGTTTTCCTTATTGTAGATGTGTCAACAAAAATGTTAGCATGTGCCAGAGATTTCTGTAGGTCTTTAGCTGACACTCTGGGATTCGTTCTTTACCTCTGCAGCATTCTGCGCTGTGCTCTTGCAGTCATTTTTACAGGACGACCACGCCTAGGGAGAGTAGCAACAGTGCTAAACCTTTCTCCATTTGTAGACAGTCTGTCTTACCGTGGACACATGAACATCAAGGCTTTTGGAGATACTTTTGTAACCCTTTCCAGCTTCATGCAAGTCAACAATTCTTGATCGTAGGTCTTCTGAGAGCTCTTTTCTGCGAGGCATGGTTCACATCAGACAGTGCTTCTTGAAACCAGTAAACCCAAAATAGGTGTGTGTTTTTTAAGGGCAGGACAGCTGTCAGCAACACATCCAATATCATCACACTGATTGGCTCACTCCTGGCTCCAATTAGTCAAGGTCATGGCTAGGGCCTCACTCCTGGCTCCAATTAGCTCTGGTTTGTGTAGTAATGTCAGACGTTCATTGAAGATGACGTTCAGAACACATTTTATGCCCAATTCATGCAAAACTCCACGTAATCCCAAGGGGTTCACATACTTTTTCTTGAAACTGTAATGTAAAAAAACAGTGTGGAATAGGGCTGATGTGACCTCCAGTAATTTATCCCAGGATCCCAGGTATTCTACCAGGACCAGAGGGGGGAACCTCTTTTGACCAGATCCCATCGCAATATATCCCGTTAAGGGCGTTGTTGAGTGACATCTCTAGCACCCACACCTGCAGAGGAGAGGATCTTGTCCCAGGCTGTACCCTAAAAAGAACTGCCAGTTCTGGTATATTTGATCTATGCGCATTAAGATTGAGTGGGCAATCTTTCTATTGGTCACACATCACCGAATTATCTTGATTCACTCCGGGAGATATTTGTCCATCAATATTATTGGGGACTGTCACACGAGATATTTAACATCACCTTGGGCATTTTCGTATTGAGAATTTATATTGCTGTTTCTATTTTGGGACGATTTATATAGTCTATTGATAATTACCTGCACTTTATTATTTATTTTTATATAGCGCTGCACTTGTTTTCTTACATTAGAAGTAATTTACTGCATGAAGTACTTTTTTGCAGTGCAGTGTGAGGCATTGCACTGTCTCTCACTGCATGGCAGCCAATTAAACTTTTTGAAATGTCTCTGTTTAATGTACAGTATCTCACAGAAGTGGGTCCACCCCTCACATTTTTGTAAATATTTGATTCTATCTTTTCATGTGACGACACTGAAGAAATGACACTTTGCTACAATGTGATGTAGTGAGTGTACAGCTTGTATAACATGTAAATTTGCTGTCCCTTCAAAATAACTCAACACACAGCCAGGGGCGGACTGACAACTCATGGGGCCCTCGGGCAATAGGGGATCCTGGGGCCCGTGTCCTTGCCCAAACTAAAAAAAAGCCTATGAAAAAGGTACCAGGGGAATCTCATGGGGCCCCCTACTGACCCCAGGCCCTCGGGCAGTGCCCAAATTTCCAAATGGTCAGTCCGCCCCTGCACACCGCCATTAATGTCTAAACCTCTGGCAACAAAAGTAAGTACACCCCTAAGTGAAAATGTCCATATTTGGCACAATTAGCCATTTTCCCTCCCCGGTGTCATGTGACTCGTTAAGTGGTACAAGGGATGGCCTAGACCAGTGGTTCTCAACCTTCCTAATGCCGCGACCCTTTAAAACAGTTCCTCATTTTGTGGTGACCCCCAACCATAAAATTATTTTCGTTGCTACTTCATAACTGTAATTTTGCTACTATTATGAATCGTAATGTAAATATCTGATATGCAGGATGTATTTTCATGATTTTACATTTACCCAGTAATTATAATTCATGAAGTGTCGTTTTACCTCCAATACTGCTGCTTTCTATACAGTAGCTGCTTTCTACACAGTAGCTGCTCTTTACACATGTGTGACTGGTCCACATAAGTACATTATGGCGCCAACCCTGTCACATACATCTGTATTTGTGCAGGGTGTATGTGATGGGGTTGGCGTGATGATGTCATCACGCCGGGTACTCGTATGTGGGTGTATCTGCATGTAGGCGGACCCACCTGGAGACGGATAGAGGAGTGGTGTGTCGGTTCCTAAGACCATTGGAAATATGTGTTTTTCTATGGTCTTAGGCGACCCCTGTGAAAGGGTCGTTCGAACCCCAAAGGGGTCGTGACCCACAGGTTGAGAACCACTGGCCTAGGAGCTATAAGAAGCTTGTCAAGACCCTGAAACTAAGTTGCAGCACGATGGCCAAGACCATACAGCGATTTAACAGGACAGGTTCCACTCAGAACCTCAATTTTGCCACTTGTGCATTGTGGCTACATACACTAAAATGCACGCTACGTATACAGGAAAACACACGTGCTCCATGTGAAGTGCATTGCAGTTCCAATTACTGTAAAAGCCACCTAAACAAATTGTACAGTAGAGTGCAATGCACAGGGCAATGCAGCACAATGTGCATACTGTGCGTCTTGAAGGAGGCATGCCTGGCTTCTCTTCCTGTTTGTAGCATGGCGTGGTGTCTGGCGTTCCCTTTCCCACTTTCTGTGTACCCAGTTCATTTCCATAGCGTTATTATCAAATGAAGGACAAACCGTGTTTACAAAGTGAGGCATTGAACACATTATACCTACGCACACACCCAGCCAGCTACCTCACCCAGACTATTGTTGTAGGACAAGGAGTGGAAAGAAGGAGCGTGGTGGTGTTCTCTATGATTAGAACATCCCTGTCCATTCACAGGCCACCAAAACCATCTACCTTTATATCAGCCTACCCGATCATCTGTCATAAAATAGATATATAGAATAGATATACACCCCCCTTTACCAGTCAAATCACCCAGCATTAGCCTCTTGTCACCAACATAACCCATATGCGCAGCAGCAAAGAGGGTGAGCCTTGGGCACACACATTCATCCAGGCACAGCAGAGCATTCTGTGCCGAGAGCGCACTCAGAGTACAGTAACCAAGCTGTCAAAGACATCTCTCAGTCCCTACTAATGATTGGGAGTTGGCGGGACTGGCGCTCGATCACATAACCACTACAGTGGTCACATGATCGGCCAATCCTTCCCACCCCGCAGGACTGCAGATCCTTTTAAAGGACTAATAAGTATGGAAACCTCCTGCCTAAAGCCCTACAAAACTAATGAAGCTACCAACATCCAGTCATATACCTGATGATCTCCAATGAAAAACAAAAAAATGATGTGGCACCAGGGGCGGACTGACAACTCATGGGGCCCCCGGGCAATAGGGATCATGGGGCCCCTGTGTCCTTGCCCAAACTCAAAAAAGCCTATGAAAAAGGTACCAGGGGCATCTCATGGGGCCCTCTACTGACCCCGGGCCCTCGGGCAGGGCCCGAGTTTACAAATGGTCAGTCCGCCCCTGTGTGGCGCTAATACCAAAATATATATGCGCAACACACAAATATAAGTGGAAATTATAAGAACATATTAAGATTTCACATAAATAAGAATCAATGATAAATAATCAAAATATGCAATACACCCAAACCAAAAAACCTCACAGGTGCTGCCTATAATGTGATATATAAATGTGATCTCCCCGAGATCAAAAGGGTGAATACAATAAATGAGAAATATACCAAAATATTCAGCAGTATTCACACAAACGAGTGTAAATAAATCCTGATAAAATCTATAAGTGGTGAAAATATCCAGAATAGTTCACAAAAGGGACTTATGTGCCCAAATTGATCCTAATTGGATCTATAAGTGATAGTGAACCATCCAAATAGTCCAAATGGGACTAAAACATCAAATGTGCTCAAATTTAAATAAATGATGAATAAACGCAGGCACAGAAAATAATCCCCAACGAAACCAAAAAAAACAACTTTCCACAGCAACATATACAGAAATAAAAATGGTTCTCTTTAGTAGAGTAGGGGAAGACTGAAATCCCCATTAGATTTTGTTTCTGTGTCCCTATTGGAGATTTACCCTCACTTCCTGTCTGAATAACAGGAAATAATGGTATATTTATTTAAAGCCCCTCTTCAAGATAACATTAATCCCTTAAACATGCACATTTCCCTGTGTTTTATTGCTTTAAAACACTACAAATACCTACTATGCCTACGCCATGTCTGGGTGAGGTGGCTGACTGGGTGTGTAGGTATGAGGTGTTCAATACCTCACTTTGTAGGACCACTACACTGGTCTGTGTGGACAGTGAACCTGTATCACCCTCTGGAGTTAAAGTGATATTAAAGGCTTGATTCTTTTTTTTTCCAATAACAAAAATGTAATACTTACCTGCTCTATGTAATAGTTTTTGCCCAGAGCAGTCCCGATCCTCCTCTTTTCAGGTACCCCACAAGCGCTCAAGGAGCCCCTCCTTCTTACCAGGTGCCATCACAGCAAGCAGATTACTATGGGGGTGCCTGAGCAGGCTCGCCCAGGAGCTGCTGCTGCTGTCTGTCCATTCTCACATGGAGCGAAGCTCGGCCCTGCCTTCTCCTCATTGGCTCACTGGCTGTGATTGACAGTAGTGGGAACTAATATCTTCTGCTGCTGTCTCAGCCAATGAGGAGGGAGGGTCCTTGAAGAGCACATCACTGAATCAGAGTGGGGACCGGGTAAGTTTTGGGGGGGGGGGGGGGGCTTGGGGCACTGCTGAACACAGAAGGTTTTCATCTTCATGCATGGAAGCGCCTTTACAACTACTTTAAGTGCAGCAGCGACCAGGAGGGGTTGGATGATGGGGCGGGGGGGGGGGGGGGGGGGGGAGGTTGGCTGTATGGTGTTGGTTCACATTTTCATTTTTTCTGAAAACGCGAACGAAACCTTTTACAGGCAGATATTAAAATGTATGCAAACCCAAAATGTATTTTTTTTTTATTGTGTTTGACATCATGGGTGGTTTAATACCACTTCAAGTACCTGAATTTGATGTGTATTCCAAGAATTAAAAAAAATACCACCAAAACAAAGCTGCCCACTTTTCCCCTAATAATGATGTAATGTTCCCTTTGATACGAAGTAATGACAGTTATTAGCAAATTATAAGCCAATAGATGCATTCTAAAACTGCTCTGGTGTAGGAAACTGCTAGAGCTGAAATTGTTAAAGTGTTACTAAACCCCGGACCCCGCATTCACTATATCCGCTCTCCCCGCTCTCCGGTCTCCCAGGACCCTGCATTCACACTATATCCGCTATATCCCTCCCGGCATTCACTATATCCGCTCTCCCCGACCCTGCATTCACTATATCCGCTCTCCCCGGACCCTGCATTCACTATATCCGCTCTCCCAGGACCCTGCATTCACTATATCCGCTCTCCCCCTGACCCTGCATTCACTATATCCGCTCTCCCCGGACCCCGCATTCACTATATCCGCTCTCCCCGGACCCCGCATTCACTATATCTGCTCTCCCCGGACCCCGCATTCACTATATCCGCTCTCCCCGGACCCTGCATTCACTATATCCGCTCTCCCCGGACCCCGCATTCACATATCTGGTCTCCCCGGACCCCGCATTCACTATATCCGCTCTCCCCGGACCCCGCATTCACTATATCCGCTCTCCCCGGACCCCGCATTCACTATATCCGCTCTCCCCGGACCCCGCATTCACTATATCCGCTCTCCCCGGACCCCGCACTCACTATATCCGCTCTCCCCGGACCCCCGCACTCACTATATCCGCTCTCCCCGGACCCTGCATTCACTATATCCGCTCTCCCCGGACCCCGCATTCACTATATCCGCTCTCCCCGGACCCCGCATTCACTATATCCGCTCTCCCCGGACCCCGCATTCACTATATCCGCTCTCCCCGGACCCTGCATTCACTATATCTCCCAGGACTCCCAAATTCCCTGGTCCCTCCGGACCCTGCATGCATTCACTATATCCGCTCTCCCCGGACCCTGCATTCACTATATCCGGTCTCTCCCCGACCCTGCATTCACTATATCTGGTCTCCCCCGGACCCTGCATTCATTCACTATATCCGCTCTCCCCGGACCCTGCATTCACTATATCCGGTCTCCGGACCCTGCATTCACTATATCTGGTCTCCCCTGGCATTCACTATATCCGGTCCCCACAGTACACAGAACATTGGACTATATTCTGGTCTCCCCATACCCTGCATTCACTATAAACTGCTCCCCAGACCCTTTCTCATCAGCAGTTAAAGCAGTCTTGTGATTTCTATCAGTGTCCAGCAGACAGTACACATGTTTAACCTCTTCACGCCGGCTGCAGCAGTCAAATGTGTGGCCTCCCAGGCATCTCTTCACGCCGGCTGCCTAAATGACTGGGCCTAGACGCAGAGCGGCCGCACATTTGCGTTCTATTAAAAAAGGACATATGTGCCGAGAGCGTTCCCAGCACACATGTCCGGTATTCACGGGAAGGTCCCGATCTCCTCTTTTGATCGGGACCTTTCCCGATCATGTGACCGCCGTGACGGCGCGTCCCATGACCTTAAAACCCGCCCCCCCGGCTTCTGGAACCCTTAAAGGGCCGGGAGGCGCCGGCGCGAAGGGGTTAACGCTTATAGAAGTTTTCTTTCTGCTCTAGGAGGATGCAGAACTCCTCTGTCTGGACAGTGATTGGCCCTGTGCTGATCACATGCACTCTCCCAAGAACAAAAAAAAAAAAAGCTCTCTAGCAATACACACTAAACTGAGTGTGAATGTGCAGAATGGCTACGGTTCAGTCTGTCTTATCGGGAGATAAGACATGGACATCTGAACAAGAGGAGGGGCAGAGAAGACAGGATCAAACAGCCTTTTTACACAATGCAGAGGATTAACCCATTAGGTCCCACAGTGAGTATAACAAGCATGCTTTACTGCATCTACAGACTGATTGTACTGTTGCGGGTTTAGTAACACTTCAATGCAACTGCACTACGGGTTCCGTCTGCTGCTCCATCCGACTCTCTGTAAGTCGGGAACTGACCCCATGCAATCATCTTACCTTATCAGCGCACATGGACACTTTAATGTCCTGCTGAGAGATCTCATAATGGCGGATGTTGAAGACATAATTTCCAGCTAGCTTCAGAATATCAGCTGAAATGTATTCCAACACGGCCACGATGTAGAGAGATACGTTATAATCCACTTTGTAACCAAGTACCTCCTGAGGAACAAAATGGGAAGAAGGCAACAAAATGATTAACCAGCAGAAAAAAATATCTAAACATATCTAACACAAAAGAGTAACAGAACGACAGTCCATGTTCACTACCACGACCAATCACTATAGACTACAATGTACAGTATGGGGAACAAAGAGCCCGATTTTATATTAAACAAAATCCACCTTCACTGAAAGAATGATAGAACGTATTTAAGCTGCACAGGTACAGTTGCAAGAAAAAGTATGTGAACCCCTTGGGATTACGTGGAGTTTTGCATGAATTGGGCATAAAATGTGCTCTGAACGTCATCTAAGTCCCAACAATAGCAGAACACAGTCTGCTGAACATAATACTACACAAACATTAGATGTTGCCATGGTTTAATTGCACATAACATGTAAACATTCACAGTGCAGGGAGGAAAAAGTATGTGAACCTTTGGACTTAATAACTGGTTGACCCTCCTTTGGCAGCAATAACCTCAACCAAACGTTTCCTGTAGTTGCAGATCAGACCTGCACAACAATCTGGAGTCATTTTGGACCACTCCTCTTCACAAAACTGTTTCAGTGTAGCAATATTCTTGGGATGTCTGGTGTGAATCGCTCTCTTAAGGTCATGCCACAGCATTTCAATCGGGTTGAGGTCAGGACTCTGACTGGGCCACTCCAGAAGGCGTATTCTGTGCTGTTGCAGCCATTGTTTTGTTGAATTACTTGTATGCTTTGGGTCATTGTCCTGTTGCATCACCCATCCTCTGCGGAGCTTCAGTTGGCGGACAGATGGTCGTACGTTTTCCTGCAAAATGTCTTGATAAACTCTGGAATTCATTTTCCCATCAATGACAACAATCCGTCCAGGCCCTGAGGCAGCAAAGCAGCCCCAAACCATGATGCTCCCTCCGCCATGTTTCACAGTGGGGATGAGGTTTTGATGTTGGTGTGCTGTGCCTTTTTTTCTCCACACATAGTGTTGTGTGTTCTTCCCAACCAACTCAATCTTGGTTTTAAACCATGGCAACATCTAATGTTTGTGTGTAGTATTATGTTCAGCAGACTGTGTTCTTCTATTGTTGTGACGTAGATGACGGTCAGAGCACATTTTATGCCCAATTCATGCAAAACTCCACGTAATCCCAAGGGGTTCACATACTTTTTCTTGCAACTGTATACCGGCTGCTCTCCTGTACTGAAATAAGCTGATTTCACTGCACACTGTGAGATTCTCAGAATGTACATTAGAAGCTGCAGCAAGTCGGATACAGCCTGCCTCATTTTCTGGCTGCAGGACGTCCAGCGTCATCTAGCACTTTTCTTCCCAGTCTGACAGTCTTTAGGCCACCTTTTTATTCATTAATTAATTTTTTTTTTTTTTTTATCCCTTCTAACATTCTGCTTAAACTTTGTGATTTGTAATAGTACTGCTTGGACTTTGAAGAAGGGGACATACCCTGAAAGCTTGTCCTCAAAATTGTATGTTAGTGCAAATTAAAAAAGTATCACGGACAGTACTCAAACTTGGAAGCTGATTGGCTTTTATGCAGAGCTGCAAAAGATTTTGCACAGTTTTAGGAAAATAACCCCCATAGAGTCTTCTAAGCTTTCAAGTATCTCTGTAGCCACTATTATTTTTAGTTTTGGTAAAGTATAGAACCCCTGTTGTGTTTTTTTTTTTCCTGTCTATGGTGTCCGTTTATGAACCAGCGTAAATGATCGCTGCTCAGTTCTCCTGTGAATGCCTTTTATGAAGCAGTTCTCCGAACGAAGGGAGAACGGTCTCCAAACGCTGGAGAACGGTCTACAAACGCTGGAAAACGGCTGATTTTACTATAATCTCGCGAGATTACAGTAAAAGATCAGTTTACTAAGCAGAGGTAAATTATCTCTGCTTAGTTTGCGGTCCCCTCCGATTCTCAGCTCTGGGCTGGAGAATCTGGAGGGAGAACACAGATCTCCAGAGAAGGGCTGAACATGTTCTCCTCTGATCTCCTGAGTGTCATAAACTGTGAATGACCACAGAATAGCTGCGACCCTCTGAATCGCAGCTATTCTCTTTGTCATAAACGGACACCTTTGTCCCACTCGGGATATATTCCTTCAATTTCTGTCCTTGGATACACACCAGGAAGTGAAGGGTAGTCACTTCAATCTGAAGAGAAATGCCCTCTCAGACAGTAGCCATTGAAACAGGTTTCCCCATTAAAAGATTTAACCTCACCTCCTGTTGCCCTAAATACTCTAATATTTGGGAATTCTCAACTGTCTCTAGGATGGACCTCCCCAGTGGGGACACAGACAGCAATAAAAAGTTGACCTGGGGTTCTAATCCTTTGCTACTCTATAGCTGACACCTTTCTTTGTCATTTTGGTCCAGGTAAGGCCGGTCATACATGGGTTGAAAAATCGACCGATTTTTCATCCGCAAATCGGGCCTAAGAATAATTGGCCGATTTTCATTCTGTTAGTGGGTCAATGGCACCGGCCGATTTTCGTGGTTCCTCCCCTTTTCGGTGATTGGGCATGTTGGAAAATTTGTGAAAAACGACCGATTTTCAACTCAATAATGGTCAAATCGTACGATCATTTTTCTGAAAAGAATATGTGTATGAGCCGTGACCTGGAAGAAACAGAAGTTTTGTCTGTTATATGGGGTGAACTTTATGACTTGGTTGGCCGATTTTCGAAATCAATGATGGCACCATCGGATTACCGAACGAACGACGTTTCCAATTTTCGGAACAACAAATCGTTCAGAATCCGAGCCATGTATGGCCTGCATAAGGCACTGTGTTGTCAACCCACAACAGGAAATTAAAATCTGAGGGAATCTGTGCCAGGACCAGCAGGTATTTTTTAGATACTGCAGGCAGTACAGTGGCTAAGTGGTTAGCACTTCCTCCTGGCTACACTACAATTGTTGGTTTGAATCTCAACCATGACACTACCGGCATGGAGTTTACATGTTCTCCCTGTGCCTGCGTGGGTTTCCTCCAGGTACTCCGGTTTCCTCCCACACGCCAAAGACATGCTGGTAGCTTATTGGCTCCTGTCTGAATTGGTCCGTATATACATGAATGTGAGTTAGGGACCTTAGATTGTACGCTCCTTGAGGGCAGAGACTGAAGTGAATGTACAATATATACGTAAATCGTCAGCACTATATAAATACCTGCAATAAATAATAAAATAGATACTTGCACAGCCTACAAAAGGATACAATATGGGGACATCTGAATGTAGTGCAGAGATGTACTGCATACATAGCTTTTTTTTTTGCACTGACATACCCTTTCAACTATAATAGTAAATAGTAAACTTACCTTTAGCAATGGATGGATTTTATCGACAGGCAGAAGCAGGGGGTTCCTTCGCTTGCGTTTTTCTATGGCTGACTGAGCATCTGCTATGGCCCATTTATCGATCGGGTGGGGAAAAGTCTTTTGGACTCTTTCCTGATATATTAAAAAAAAAAAGAAAAACAATGTGAAATATAGAAAAATGAAATTATACATGTAATTTTTAATGTGCATCTCTAGGCAAAACCATTTTGTACATTTTGGGTAGCTGTGAAGAGTTAGACCCTGTAACAAGTTTTTATTGCAGTCTGTGTCCATTGGGGAGATGGACTGGTCACCATTTGTACTGGTCACCACTGTCACAGAGAAAGAAAATGGGGGGGAATCAAAAATTCTAGAGTTGTCCCCAGAATGAGAGGTGAGGGTAAATCTTCTGGGGGGGTGCATGTTCTGGAGGATAACCATCTAAGAGTGGAATTTCCTTCAGTTTGGGAGTTTTCCTCTATAGCTGGTCATACACTGATCGAAAATCAGCCAGTTCAGCAGGGACCAACCAAGTTTCGATTAGTGTGTGGTCATCCTCACTCGTCAATTGTTTGATAGATTTCTGCTGAAGGGACACGTTGGAAATTTTTCCCAATGCAGCTTTCAGAATACACCATCCTGGCAGGAGGGGGACTCCTTCATCCGCCTTGTTTGTGTGGATGGACGAGTCTTTAAAAAAAAAAAAAAAAAAAAAAAAAACTTACTTACAGTGTACAGGCAGCTTCAAAAGCTTGTAAGGTCAATGTTTTATAAAAAAAAAGGTGTCTATACTTGCCTGCTCTGTGCAATGGTATTGCACAGAGCAGCTGCTTATTCTGGCGTCCCCCCTGCTGACACTCTTTGTTCCTCCTCTTCTGTGTGTATCCCCACACTCTCCAGCCAAGCTGTGTGCATCCATAGGTACACACAGCGCAGCTAGACCCCGCCCCCTGCTCCCGTCTCACAGGAGTTGAATGACAGCCAATGGCTCCTGCTGCTGCCTGATCCTCCTTTGTGTTTTTAACTTAATGCATAGAATGCTTTGAAGCCCAACTCCAGGCAACAATTTTCCCATGCAGTGTGGCTGTGCCCACATTAAATTGGTTAACTGCTCGTTTTGTCCAGGGGAGAGGAGAAAGCTGTATACTGACTTGGCCCTCCACTCCAGCGACAAACAGCTCTCCCCCACGATCCAGCGGTGGACTGTTCCTGACGTCCTCATGTCCAGAGCAGGTCTATGGGCGTGATGGCGTCAGGGAGGACTGGAGGATTAGTAAGCATATCTACCTTATCCAATCCCCTAGACCAGGTGTAGGCAACCTGCAGCTCTCTAGCTGTTGTGGAACTACATTTCCCATGAGGCATTGCAACATTACAAAACTGACAGTTACAGCTATGACTTGCAGAGGCATGCTGGAACTTGTAGTCCTGCAACAGTTGGAGAGCCACAGGTTGCCTACCCCTGCCCTAGACAGAAGCGATCAGGTAACCCCTGCAGAGTGGGCTTTAACCTCCCTGGCGGTATGATTATTTCAGATTTTTGGTGCTGAAAGCAGTACCATTATTTTGTATGGAAATTTGGCGTTTTATATTGTAGGCTGTAATTTTTAGGAATGACTCACTGAAATCTGTCCGAACAAGAGTCTAGTAAACATCCCGGGTATGTTAAAATTTGAAACGCGAAATCATAAATTATAATTTAATAATCATAAAAAATAATAATATAATAAAAATAAAATTTAATTCAATAATATAATCAAACCAAAAACACTGAAATGTGAAATAGAGCGCCAAGTTCACACATCGCTGAGCAAAGTCGCAGAATCGTTTTCAGTGTCTGATGAGGAATTTCCCCCACGAATCATTATCACTCAATTCTGCAAGTGGTTCTGATTTACTATCGCTGTTCTCTAGCCGGTCTAAAACCGCTTTTGACCTAAAGGGACGCTTTTTGGACGCCATGGATGTTTCTCAGTTTCCATCGTCGCAGGGAACGGAACCCAGAAGACGGATGCCGGCATCGGCCGGATTACATTGCCGGGGACACTGCAGGAGGGACGTCGCGGGGAGCGCAGGACAAAGTAAGTGATTGAGGGATCGCGGAGCAACGCCGCATGGTAAGCCGAGTGTAGCTCGGGGTTACCGCTTGTGGTACTGAAACTTTACCCCGAGCTACACTCGGGAATACCGCCAGGGGGGTTAAGGCAAAACAAAACCTTTTGAGCTTAGAACCATTGTAACATCCGGTTACATTCCTGGGGCAGGAATGACAGAAAGTTTTACCAAATGGTACAACAAAAAAAAAAAAAATACCTGGCAGGTGATCTAACGTTTTTCATACTCTATCCCAAAACAAAAAACATTTACTACGCACACACATTACCATCATTTTTTGTTCTGCAAACAGTTTATTCATTACAGTCAGATACAATCTTTATTCATCCAAGCAAGACTATAAACAAAGCTCCAGACTTAAACTGGAACAGATTATTTTTGTTCAGCCCACATAATCCAACAGATCTCCCAATCTATACTATACAGCGTAGATGGAGGAATCTCCCGCTGCAGCTATTGTATTCGGACAGCCTCAACTGTCACCTGTCAGAACACCAGAACAACGGCTGCATCTTACTGGATGAAACCGCTCTCTGTTCAACTGCTTTTGATGGATTTATAAAATAAAATGGACATATAAAAGAAAATGAAAATAAAGATTTATAATCTTGTAAACATTCAAAAACGTTTTCTTTGTCAAAAGTTTTATTGACACGCTGAGTAGTACAAACAGCTGATCGCCCGCGTAGGGGTGCCGTACAAGAAACCGCCACTAAGGAATGTAATAGGCGATGATCAAACACGTTTAACCCCTCGCCTACAGGGCACGTATACCCCCTTCCTGTCCAGGCCAATTTTCAGCTTTCAGCGCTGTCACACTTTGAATGACAATTGCGCGGTCATGCAACACTGTACCCATATGAAATTTTTATCATTTTTTTGAGACAGATAGAGCTTTATTTTGGTGGTATTTAATCACCTCTGGGGTTTTTTATTTTTTCTTAAACAAACCAAAAACCACTGAAAATTTTGAAAAAAAAAAAGTTTTTCTTAGTTTTTGTTATAAAATTTTGTAAATAAGTGATTTTTCTCCTTCACTGATGTGCACTAATGAGGCTGCAGTGATGGGAACTGATAGGCTGCACTGATGGACACTGATAGGTGGCACTGATGGGCATTGATGAGGAGGCACTGGTAGGTGGCACTGATGGGCATTGACAGGCATCACTGATGGGCACTGAAAGGCAGCACTCATATATGGCACTGATAGGTGGCACTGATATGCAGCACTGACAGCACTGATAGGCGGCACTGATGCATACTGATAGGCAGCACTGAGTGGCACTGATAGGTGGCACTGATTGGCAGCAGTGATAGGTGGCACTGACTGGCATTGATAAGTGGCACTGATGGGTGACACTGAAAGGCAGCTCAGATGGGCACTGATATGTGGCATTGATGTGCACTGGTAGGCACTGATATGTGGCCTTGATGTGGCACTGGCAGGTGGCATGGATAAGCACTGACAGCTGGCACTGATGGACACTGACAGGTGGCACTGCTGGGGCTACACAGATCATCAGGGCACACTGATCATCAGTGCCCTGATGATCAGTGTACATGTCCCCTCTGAGGAATGCTGATTACCGGCTCTCCTCTCCTCTTGAGCTGTCAGCGTGACAGCTTGTGAGGAGAGAAATGCCGATAACCAGCATTTCACTATTTACACGTGATCAGCTGTGATTGGACACAGCTGATCACATGACCGAGCCGACATCTTTGGCTCTTTCCGTTGATCGGTGATACGCTGTGTCCGAGGGACACAGCGCACCGCCAATTGCCGCGCACTCCTGGAGCTGCGCACGCGCGGTAAGAATGGGACGACGTCATATGACGTCCTCCCAGAACGAGAGAACCACCTTGTGCCCGTCATTGTACTATATGGTGGGCGGAAGGCGGTTAAGGAACATTATTAGCAATATAATGCCGCCTAGAGGCCGAGGCTCTATCACAGCTTCCATGGTTCAGGAACAATGCCCGAGTGATCAAACAGTAGGTACTAGCAGTAAAACAATGGCGTTTCATTTAACCTGAGAAAAGAGGTAGAGAGAAAACCAGAGAAGGAGGGAGAGAGAAAAAAGAAGAGAAATATACAATCAGAAATCTAGGAGGAAAAAAGAGGGAGAATTTTTTTTTTTCACAATTTTATCTTTAAAGCAAAACTATCAGCAGATAGAAAAGACAAACATTTAAACAGTATTAAATAAAAACTATTGCAGCTTACCAAAGGTTAGATGTGGTGGCTGCATTAGTTTTCTTTTTCTTAGGCTTTTCCCCTTTATTTCACCTGGTGATCCAGTCAGTAACCCACCTCCTGTCTTAAGGAGTCTGCATTCTGGATGAAGCAGTAAAGCAGACACCTTTGGAAAGCAGCATTGTCAGTGTGGGGGGAGGGTAGTGTTATAATAGCAGATTTAGATGGACTTGACTAACAAATTAACCACTTCCAGTCCGGACACTTTTCCCCCCCTTCCAGTCCGGACACTTTCCCCCCCTTTCCCCCCCCTTCCTGTTTCCCCCCCTTCCAGGCCTTTCCCCCCCTTCCTGTCCAGGCCAATTTTCAGCTTTCAGTGCTATCACACTTTGAATGACAATTGCGCGGTCATGCAACACTGTACCCATATGAATTTTTTAGCATTTTTTGAGACAGATAAAGCTTTATTTTGGTGGTATTTATTCACCGCTGGGATTTTTATTTTTTTTGCTATGTAAATTAAAAGTCCAAAAATGTTGAAAAAAAAGTGTTTTTCTTAAAAAATTTTACAAATAAATAGCATTTCATCATAAATCTTGGCCAAAATTTAGTCCGTTATATTGTTAGTAAAAAAAAATAACCCAAATTAGTTTATAACCAAAAATTATAATTTTTAAACATTTTTTTTTAGATTATTTTTTTTTTTTTTTTACACATACTGTCACCCTGGCAGTACAGTGTCACCATGTTGACACTGTACTACTTGTGGGGGGTGATGACTTTTTTTTTTTTACACTGAATGCTTTTACACCCATAAAGGATG